TCCCGGCCACGGCGGGGGCTCCGCGCGTCCTCGCGGGCGCCGGCTGGCCCCGCCAGTGTAGCGCGCGTGCGGCCCAGGGCGTCTGAGGGCATCACAGACCTGCTATCGCCCCGCCGTCCTCCCGCTCGCGCGGGCCGTCCCGCGGCGCCCGCGGCCGGGGTCTCGCTCGTTGTCGCAATGGAGCAGACGGCTCGCGCCACGGGCTGGGAGCGGCCATGCACCACCGCCCGCGCGATCGCGAAAGCGCGCCCGGCTGTCGGTCCTCCGCGCGTCCGGGCCTGGTGAGGTGCGCGCGTTGAGTCAGATTGAGCCGCAGACTCCACGTCTGGTGGTACCCCTCCGTCAATGCCTTCAAGTTTCAGCCTTGCGGCCATACTCCCCCCAGAGCCCGGAGCCTCCCGGTTTCCCTGGGCGGCCGGCGGGACGCGCGCGCCGGCCGCGGGGCGGCACCGTTTACGGCCGGGAATACGGTGGTGTCTGATCGCCTTCTAGCCCCCGGCCTTCGCCCTTGATTGACAGAGGCGGTCTTGGCAGGCGCCTGCGCGGCCGGCGGTCTCGGCGGGATCATCCTGTTTCACCCGTCCCCGGCCGGTACCGGTGCCCCCGCCCGCTCTCCTCGGGGCTGCCGCGGCGCGCCGCGCCCGCTGCGCGGTCCCACGCGGCGGGTCCAACGGGCCTGCCTGGAGCGCTCCCGTTTCCTCGTGGCGGCGGGGGGCCAACTACGGGCGTTTCAACTGCAGCAGCGCCGCGCGACGCTCGCCGAGCTGGAATTACCGCGGCTGCTGGCACCAGACCTTGCCCTCGGCTCCGCGGCGGGGGCTGTGGGCCCGCCTCGCTCGCGCGCTCCCCGTCGCTGCCTCGCGCGCCGCGCATTGGGCAAGTTCCGCGCCTGCTGCCGTCCTTGGATGTGCGGGCCGTCTCGCAGGCCCGCTCTCCGGAGTCGAACCCTGATTCTCCGCCAGGCGTCGGGCCCTCGGCGCGCCGCGACCGCGCCGACCGGGTGATGCCCCGGAAGCCCGGGCGGGCCGTCGCTGCGTCACGCTGCTCGCCCGCGGGCGCCCGCCCTTGCGCGCACGTCTTGGCGCCGGGTTGCCAGCGGTGTCCGGCTAGCAGGGACCGCCGCGGGGGGTGCAACCGTTGTCCTGAGCCGTCCGCCGCGTCCCGGGTGAGCGGGCATGCATGGCTTCGTCCTTGGGGAGAGCGTCGCGCTCCGGCAGGATCGACCGGATGGCCGGGCGCGGGCGCCGCGGGCCGGGCGCCTCCCTGCGCGGGGGCCGCCGCCTGGCACGGGGGCCGCCCCCTCCGTGCCCGCGCCGCGTCGGGGGTCCCCCCTATAGTGCCGGACGGAGGCCGCCCCCCACAGCCCGGCCCGGGTCCGCCTGCACCACACTTTTTTGGATTCCCTTGGGGGCGCTCGGGGGGCCGGGGGCCGGTCCGCGGGGAGCGCCGGGGGGCCCGGGCGGACCCTGCAGAACGATGTGTCACGGCAAACCCTCCTGTGCGGACCGCGTGTCCCGGGCTCCCCTGCCGGTCGGGAGATCCGCACCCCCCGTTCTCCTCCCAGTCTGCTCTGGAGGGGCCCCTCACCCCAGAACGATCGAATTGGAGGCTAGTTGTGCATCCGGGCGCTCCGGGGCCCTCTCCGGGGAGACCGCCCGAAACGGCCTCTCGCGGGGATCTCGATAGCCGTGGCTGTATACGGTCCGTCTCTAACCTATGTGACTGCTGGCAGCGGGAGGGCACTGCGTGGGGGGCGGCCCCCCGGAAGGGCGCGGTCCGAGGAGGGGCCCCCGACCGGCCCTGGACCGACCGGGGCAGCCCCGGGTGCTGTGCGTGCGCCTGGCTGCAGCGGGGGCACAGGAGCGCAGGAGGCCCCAGGAGAGACCGGAGTGTTTACTGGCCCGGGGGATCGGCTGCTCTGGGCCGTCCGGGGGTCCTTCCGCGCTCTCCCCGCGGCCTCCTGCACCGTGCCTCCCCGGCGCCCGTCCCCGCACGTGGGTGTGTCTCCCGGTCGTGCGTGGCCTGCTGGGGGCTCCTGGACCCTCTGCTGTCCTCTCTGCCTGGATCCCCCGGGCCGCCTCTCCCGGGCCCCCTGCGGTCCTGCGCCGCCCCCCTGCGCACACGGGTGCTCCTCTGTGCAAGGCAGACCCGGTGGTGGGCGTGCACTGCCCCCTGGCCACCCCTTGGGGCACCCTGCACTCCCTCAATCTTCTCTTTCCGCGCTCTGCCTGTCTGTCTGCCCCGCACCCCCCCAGAGCAAGTGGGCCGCGCGCCCCGCCCCGCGCTCTGCAGGCGCGTCCCTCAGGCGATCGCAGGGCTCTGCGCCGTACAGGAGCGCCGCGCCGGGTGGTCTCCCCGGGCGGGGGCCGCTCGGCGACGGGGCACGGGGCTGGGGCGCGCGGCCGGGCGGGGCGCGAGGCGGGGTGCGCGCTTAGAGGCGGTCAGCGCAGGGCCCCCGGGCGCGGCGGCGCGGCGCTGCCCGGCCGGGCAACCGCGGGGCTGGCGGCCCGCGGCGGGCGTTCCTCTCGTACTGGCCCGCCGTGCTCTGGCCCCGGGGCCAGTAGGGTAAAACTAACCTGTCTCACGACGGTCTAAACCCAGCTCACGATCCCTTGAACGGGTGAACAATCCGACGCTTCCGCGCCGGTGCGCGCGGACGGTAGGAAGAGCCGACATCGAAGGATCAAAAAGCCGCGTCGCTGCGGGCGCTCGGCGGCCACAAGCCAGTTATCCCTGTGGTAACTTTTCTGCCACCTCCGCGCCCGCGGCCGGGGCGGCGAAGGATCGGTAGGCCCCGCTTTCGCGGCCCGCGCCGGCACGGGGGGCGCGGGTCGGGCGGGCTTGTGCCCTTCTGCTCCGCGGGAGGTCTCCGTCCTCGCTGAGCCCGCCGTGGGACGCCTGCGGTCCGGTGTAGCAGGCGCGCCGCCCCAGCCGAACTCCCCGCCCGGGCGGGTCCCCGCGCGACCGGGTGAGCGGGGCGGCGGCGGCCGTCAGGGTGTCTCAGGGGCGCGGCCTCCCCTGTGCGCTGCGCCGGCCGCCCCGCCCCACAGGCCCGGGCTGGAGTCAAGCTCAAAAGGGTCTTCTTGCCCCGCTGGCCGGCCCTCGCCCGTTCCCGAGGCTGGAGGCTCGCGGAGGCGCGGCTCGGGACAGTGGGATCCTCGTTGGTCCATTCATGCACGTCGGAAATTGCCCGACGAGGCATTTGGCTACCTTAAGAGAGTCATAGTTACTCCCGCCGTTTACCAGGGCTTCGGCGGATCGCTTCACGGTGACGGTCGTGGCACTGGGCAGAAATCACGTCGCGCCAGCGCCGGGTGCGGCCCTCGCGACGCTGTGTTTCTAGTAAACAGTCGGGATCCCCGCGTCCGTTCCAGTTCTGACCCGGCGCGCCGTCAGAGCCACTCCTTTTCCCGAGGTTACGGAGCCGGCTTGCCGACTTCCCTGAGCCGCGTTCGCTCCCGCGCTAGAGGCTGCTGACCCCGGAGTCCTGCTGCGTGGCGGGGCTGTGATGTGTAAGGTCTGATGTGGAGGCGATCGCTGTTTACTCTGGCTACTCTGAGAGGATGGCTAGTATCTCGCTATTGCCCTCGGCTATGTCCAAGAGCTTCCTCCTGTTTATGTTCTTCTCCTTCTCTGCGAGGAGTCTCACACACTCTATCTGGCTGCAGGATACTGCCCACATGAGGGCGGTCCATCCGTCACTATCCTGCATCCCACCCTCCTTCTCCAAGAGCAGCGCGACGTGGGCAGAGTGACCTTCCTTTGCTGCAGCCATAAGAGCTGTCTGTCCATTGTTACTTCTCATACTTCCTTCCTTTTCTAGTAGGAGCTTAAAACAGTCTGTGCTACCATACCTTGCTGCAAGCATAAGGGCTGTTTCGCCATCCTCATTCCGCATCCCGCCCTCCTTCTCTAGCAATATTCTAGTGCAGCCTGCGTGGCCACTCTCTGCTGCCCTTATGAGGGCTGTCCATCCAAAAATATCCTGCATGCCTGCCTCTTCCTCTAGGAGCAGCTCCACTATCTCTGCGTGGCCACGTGCTGCTGCCAGCGTGAGGGCTGTCTCGCTACTATCACTCTTCATCCCGCCCTCCTTCTCTAGTAGGAGCCTGACGCACTCTGGGTGGCCACTCTCTGCCGCCCCCATGAGGGCGGTCCGTCCAAACCCATCCTGTACCCCGCCCTCCCTCTTTAGCAATAGTCTAACACAGTCTCCGTGACCTCCCTCTGCTGCAAACACAAGGGCGGTCCGTCCATAGCTGTCTTGTACCCCGCCCTCCTTCTCCAAGAGTATGTCCACTATCTCTCCATGGCCCTCCTCTGCTGCCCGCATGAGGGCGGTATCGCCAGCAGCAAGTAAATACGTCATCACCCTCCGTTCCTCCAGCATACTCCGTTCCACGAGCCCTTTCGTGATCGCCATGTCCACTTTCATGCCCCCCTCTTTCTCCAGTAATAGCTTGACGCACTCTGGGTGGCCCCTCTCTGCCGCCCGCATGAGGGCGGTCCATCCGTCACGATCCTTCATCCCCGCCTCCTGAAGGCTACTCCTCACTGCATCAGCATCTCCAATGTAAGCAGCATACATAAGGCTCGTCCAGCCCGAGGCAGCACGCTCACGGTCGTTTCCCACCAGTAGCTTAACACAGTCTTGCTTGTCATTCTGCTCTGCTGTCACGAGGGCTGTCACCCCATCACTAGTCTGCATCCCGCCCTCCCTCTCCAGGAGCAGCGCGACACATTCTCTGTGGCCTTCTTTTGCTGCAAGCACGAGGGCAGTCTGGCCGTCACTATCCTTCATGCCCGCCTCCTTCTCCACGAGCAGCTCCACTATCTCTGCGTGGCCTTCCTCTGCCGTCCTTATGAGAGCGGTCTCGCCATACCTATCCCGCATCCCGCCCTCCTTCTTTACTAGTAGTCTAACACAATCTGAATGGTTTCTCTCTGCTGCCAGCATGAGGGCGGTTTCGCCATCCTCATTCTGCACGCCTCCCTCCTTCTCCAGGAGCAGCTCCACTATCTCTGCGTGGCCACGGACTGCTGCCCTCATAAGGGCTGTTCCCTCGCTGATGGCCCAGCAGCCCATCGCGACATCCCCCGTCGCCTTCTGTCCCCCCTGGAGAGGAAGGAGGGCCTTCACAGTATCTACATCATTTCTGTCAACAGCTCGCATGAGGGCAGTGACGCCATTCTCATCTGTGGGATCGAGGAGCTCCACGACGTCCTTGTGCCTCGCTCTGGCAGCAATCATCAGTGCGGTATTGCCGTCATTGTTCCTCTTGTCCTTGTCTGAGAGGTGTTCCTTGACTGTTGTGACGTCCCCCGTGAAGGACGCGCACATGAGAGGGGTCCACGAGGGGGCCTCATGCTCGCGAAGAAGCAGAGCTATGTCTGTGTGCTTGTTCCTGAGGGCGTGCACGAAGGCCGTGTTACCGTCCTTGTCCTTCAGCCCCTTCTCATGGTCAAGAAGGAGCTTTACTACTTCAAGGCTCCCCTGCTGTGCGGCGATCATCAGGGCGGTGCGACCGTTATTGTCTTCTTTTCTATGCTCATGAGGGACGAGGATCCTAGCTGCCTCGGGATGGTTCCTATGTGCGGCGTGCATGAGCGCGGTCCAGCCGTTCTTGTCCCTGAGACCCTTCTCCTTCTCAACAAGCAGCTCAACGGGGCCAGTGTGCCCCTGCTGGGCTGCATGCATGAGGGCTGTCATTCCCTGCTTATCACGCTGGCCGGTGACTCCCTCTTCAAGTAGCACCCGGACGGTCTCTGTGTCATTCGTGTGTGCAGCACGGACCAGCTTGGGTAGCAGGTGAGCCTCAGGTTGAAGGGTAATCGTAGCTGCTGCGCCACTGAGTTGCATAACCTGACCTTCTCGTGCCTGCATTGTGGATAAGTATTTTTTGTCCGGCCTTCAAGAGCGTCAATCCCAGGGGTCTTGAGTCGAGGCTCCTGTCCTAGGGAGCTGGTCTTGCTTGGCCTGTTCTCGAGGGCTGCCTCAAGAGCAGTGACCTTATCCGACTCGACCTTGAGCTCGTCCTTCAGAAGCACGATATTAGCATTAGCGCCATTCAGCGCAGCCTCCAAAACGCTGCACTTGTCCTCTAGTGCCACACACCGATGTCCCAGCTCACTAACTGGGATGTCGAATGTGGCGAGCGTCTCGTGCAGCTCCCTGGCTGTCGGCCTCCTCTCTGGCTCCAGCACGAATATCCGCTCCAGAACACTCTTTATGAAGCCGTCGGTGACACCGCTCAGGTCCGGCCTCCACCCGTCGACGAAGACGTCTTTTGGGTCTTTACCTTCTAGGAAGTCCGGTCTCCTCAGAGTTACTAATTCATAAATGATGACCCCGAGGCTCCATACGTCGGAGGCGGGGCTGGCCTCGTTGTGGAGGAGCACCTCGGGGGCCACGTATACTGCCGTGCTTACAATGGTGCTCCCGCATCTCAGGGCGTCCTTGCAGAGGCCGAGGCCAGCGATGACGAAGTACTCACCATCTGCGCTGATGAGGACGTTGGCAGGCCTGAGGTCGCGGTGGACAAATCCATTAACACTTACCCCATTGACGCCGTGGAGGTAGGCGAGGGCGGCAGCGATCTGCCTCAGGACGGAGAGGACCACGCCGGCAGACATGGGGATCTTCCTTCGCTTGTGCTCAGTGAGGAGGCGCTCGAGGGTCTTGTCGTGGCGATTCATGACGACGTAGATGAGGCCCTCGCCTTCGACTACTTGATGGTGCTTGAGAACCCCCGGGTTGGAGAGGTCAAGAAGAGCGGCCAGCTCGAGCCTGATGGCGCCTAAATCCCTCTTATCCGGGCCATCGAGGAGGATCTCCTTCACAGCGAGGCTCGGATGGCCCCTAAGGGAGTAGACTGTCCCCATGGTGCTTTCATTAAGCACACTGCCCAACCGCCTGTGGAGCTTCTTACGAGTGAATTGTGGGATGGCGGGGGCTGCTGCAGGGGGGCTGGCTGCCGTCGGCCATGAAGTTTGTTTCAAAAATCGTTCACTCTGCCCACTAGTACTTGCAAGGCTATGTTATAGGGCCCTCTGCGGGTGTAGTCGAGGCGCACACAAGCATGGCTGCCTCTTCAGAGACAGGGGTGTCGCCCTTCAAGGCCGGGGTTCTTCATCAATGCTCCACACTGGCGTCAGCATGCTGCTGGAATCTCTGGGCTGTTCCTGTCCAGTCGATGCGTGCGTGCCAGAACGCTTGGTTTCCATCCTTTCCGCCGCGCTAGAGTCACGCTGGCCTTGATCGGCCGCTCTCTCCTCAATTGGTCTCATCTGCTTGGCAAGGACCACAGAGGTTGGCTGGAAGCGTCGCTTGGAAGGAATCGAGTGGCCGGCTCTCGAGCGTCACCCGACGAGCTTCGTTGGGCATTCGTTTCCGAGCCGGCAACATTGACGGCCGCAGAGCTCCTGGGCGTTCCTCGATCAGGGATGGGCCGAGCTGCTCGGTTCGTGGCCTCTTGTCCATTCCTCGTTATCGGGCACAGTTAGCCACCAAGCGGTCTACATATGCTGTTCGAGCCACACCTACAACAAGCCAGCGGCACAGCGCTAGAGCAGCCGTTAAGTCGAGCGAATCACCCCAAGCAGATGCTCAGATCTGTCCCGCGCTCAGAGGTCAGTGTCCCTCCACCTCTTGCCCATTATTTCATTGGGGTCCTGCACTCCGTCCAAGGGGCTGCTGCGCCGCGCGAAGCTTCATGGCCCGAACCGTCCACGAGTCCCCCTTCCGCTCAAGCAGGCGACCCGTGAGGCCTGTGGCTTTGAGGAGGGTTCCAGGATCGCCCTGGGACGTAGGCGCAATGACTGGCCGCCGCGATGCCAGAAGCTGGCGGGTCACACCGAGCAGGTCCGCCTCTTCCACACTGTTACCCAGCGTCCCTGTCTGCTGCATGCTTTGAAGAATGACTGTGTCTACGCGATCCCCTGCAGAGCTCTCCGGCGCATATGTCCACGGGTATGCGCACGCAGGCGGGGCCTCAAGACGCATAGGTGGAGGGGGGTCCTGGAAGACTTGACTGGGCACTTCTTCGAGGTCTTCGATGGACAGCCTGGCTGTGTCTGCCAGTCCACTCTCTGAGGACTTTTGCCCGGAGCGTGCGGTAAGAGGCACGCCGAAAAGAGAGTCCCATCCCTTCGGAGGCGGGTCAAGATTGACTCTCTGAACAATGCCGAGGAGCTGGGCCCCGTCCAAGCCCCACAGAGCTACTCGTTTGTCCCCGCCTATCGAAATGTATGCCTGGCTGTTGGAAGCAGCCGGAGAAAGCAGGCTAATGGGGGCGGCGTGAGCACGGTGGACGTACCGTACCCGGAGATACGAAGACGGAACGATTGGCGACGTCTTCCCAGAGCTCGGGGTATGAAGAAGACCCTTAGGGAGCTGCTGCGTGTCGAGACTGCGTGTGATCCCCAGAGCAGCTATCAGATTCTGAATCTTGTAGAGGGTCACAAAGCCTGCGTCGTCCCCGACCAGGATAGAGTGGGCGCCGTCCACAAAGCAGACAGCTGTCGGCATGGTGCGAGCAGAGAGAGCAAGAACGGACTCCTTCCGGACTGGCACTCTCACCTTGGTTCTGTCCCTGAAGACGTATTGATAGAGAATGCCGTTTTCCTCTGCTTCCACGTCCTCCATCCCGGGCCGCGTCACAGCGGACCCCATCATGGTGCCATAAAGAGACGCATGGGCGTCTGCGTATTGCGCAGCCGCCGGACTCTCCACGTCAACGCCGGACGTCTTAAAGCGCGACTTAGAAAAGTCCTCGATCACCTTGCTGGACTTGTCGGAGAGCTTCACCGCTCCCTGAGGCACTTTGCGGCGAGAGGCGGCCTGCCTTGGCTGACTGGTGCCCAGCGGAACAGGAAGGAAGTCAACGTAGACCCTCCGAGGAGCAGCTAAGAAGCGCGTGAAGTAGAAAGAAACAAGCATTATCACCTGAGCAGCAGCCCGAATCTTCATAAGCGTTCTGCGCCGACGGGCTTGAAGGCCTCGGAAGTTCTGGGAAATGGGGACGTATCGGCGAAGGAGTGCCATTGTTGCAGAGACAATCTCTTGGTAAGACGGACCCGGCATTCTGGTGTGCGCACGCTCTGACCTTTCTTCCAAGTCGTCCTGTACACCGACGGTCTCCTGCTGGAGATGGCACAGAGATTGGCCTTCTTCAGTAGCCGCTGTGGATTCTTGGACCGTGATGTACGCATAGCGGTTGGAAACAGTATGCCTCTCAAACATCGATGGAGGCTGGACTGTTCCGGAAGCGGCCTCTCCCTCCCTATCGGTTGTCATCGAGGCGTCCATGGAGGGCGTTGCAGTCGACGCCTGGAGGTCTCCGACTCGCGCCCCGTAGGCCGTTTTCGTGGAAAGCAGACGATTGGCACGGAACTCCCCGTCAATCGACCGCAGAGCCTCGTCCCCGGGCACAGGGCCCTTACGTTCGGGGCAGTACTTTGTGTGGAGGAGATCTGGAGAAAAGTTTTCTATCAGGTAGCGAACCACGTCCTCGTATCTACTCCCATACAACTGGACGTCTGAATTGAAATCAGAGAGGGGCAGAAGGGCGTGCTTCAAGAATCCAGCTGTCTGGACCCAGCCGGCCTGAAAGTCTGCATTCAGTGGATAGCCCAGGGGATGGTAGCTTCCGTGGTAAAAGGCGCAGACGAGCGAAAAGTTCGGGTACAGCGGGCGGACCGCGTGGATGTAGCAGATGCCAGAGGCCGACGCCGAAAACAGAAGGGGCCACTGTCCCAGGAAGCAGAGGGCCGTTATGGGGGAGCCAACAGACGGGATTGTCGGGGGCTGGATCACCCCCTGCTGCAGCAGCTTGACAGACATCGTGTCGTGGACGAGAATCCGGCCGTCAGAGGTGCCTATGGCCAGCAGAGACAGCTCCTCCGAGGCGTCAATGCACGTCACGTACGAGTCACTTCGAGCCTTCTTTGCATGCCCGGTGTAGAGAACGTCGCAGAGCAGTTTCTGGATCGGAGACGGCGCCTGATTCGGCTGTCCTGCTGAAGAGACATCTCGGGCCCACAGGAACTCGGGGCAAAAGCGTCTTACAACCTCCGGCTTTGAAGAGAGGTCGTCTGCGCCTACAAACACGGGCTTCGACGAAAAGAACGCCGTGAGCTGCTGCCGTGCCCTTGCAAAGTGGTCTGCTCCTCCTGCAAAAAAGATGTCGAAGGTCGTCAGCTGCCTCGACAGCCCTATCTTGTTCACGTACTCGTGGCTCGGCTTCATGTCTATGGCGCGCACAATTTGCGGGTTGAGGTTGTCGCAGAGGAAGAGAAGGCCGCGCGCTCTGTCGGTGGCCAAGATTTGTGCGCGCATTATCGACTTGTCGGAAAGCAGCTGTCTCACAAAGGCTGCGTTGTTGGCCTTGACGATGATCTGAGACAGATTGAGCCCCAGGCTGTACGAGGAAGCTCCGGACGACATGTGCGAGTCGGCCCCTGCAGAAGGCTCCCTCTGTGCGTCGCCCAGTCTTTGGCCATCAAACGGGTTGTCGACGATGTCAATGTCGTCTTCGCATGTCCTCCGGCCGGTAATCCCAACGTTGGATATGTCGAAGAGAGAGCCGGTCTTCCAGTAAAGTGTCACTGCACCGTGAGTTCCTATGACGTAAAGAACGCGTCCCTTGCTGTCGACGGCGAGGGACAGAATCCGCCGCCCGAGGGCGTCGAGCAGAGACTGGGGGGCGTCGGGGGCGCTGGGGATCTGGCTGAGGATCTGCGGTGGCTTGTGGAGCGTCCTATATCGGGCTTCGTCGTCTGGAGTGGAAAAGTGGAGATCGGCCTCCGTCACCTCGCTCTGGCCCTCTGCGTAGAATTTCGAGAGGTCGCACGTCTCGATGCTTGCATACTCCGAACCCAGTACGGCATCCTGTGCGTCATCGCCACCGCTGCCTGTGCCGTCTCGGCCCTCCAGAAGCGTCTTGGAGATCCTTGCAATGTCGTAGATCCTGGACGGCCGGCCGGTAAGAAGCGAGAAGATCGTCACTTCCCCAGGGCCTGTGACGGCGCCAAGCTCGTTCATGCGCTGGTTGACGACAACGCCGGCGCACTCCTTGCTGATAGACCCCAGGGGAAGATGCTCGGGCGCGTGCTTGATCAGCTCCTTCGGCCTGCGCTTGCCCAGTGCCCGCTGCTCCTCCTCGCGCTTCGCGTCCTCAAAGTCCCAGACCACCTGCTCCTTGGCCAGCTCCTCGTTGGCAACCACCTTGAGGACGAACAGCCGGCGCCCGAAGGGGATGTAGCCGAAGTCGTGCTTGCGGCTATAGACCCCGGTGCCGACCTTGACTCCGTGCAGGTTGATGGCGATGTCGATCCGCGTGATGTGCGCACCCGTCAGTGCATGGATGAGGGTCACCACGTTGTCGTGGTCAATAACGCCAACAACGTTCCCGAAAGCGAACGACGCCAGAATAGGCTTGCCCGGCCTGGGCGGCTGGACAAGGGTGATCAGGTGCGCGGACTTCACGAGGTTGGCCTTCACGAGCCTCTTGTCAGAAACCTGCACGGCCTCGCGCCTCCTCTTCCCGCGCCTATCGTCCTCGCCGTCCACCCGGGCGGGGTCGTCCTCGAGCTCCTCCTTTGTCACGGCCATCCCCAAGTGGCAGGAGCGGACCGCCTCCGGGCCAATCTGGTAGACGTTGCTGAAGCCAATGGTTGTGATGTGATCGCTGACGACGTAGCACCGCATGATCCCCTCCGGGTGCAAGTCCGAGAACGTGCAGACGACCCCCAGGTCCTCGTCCAGAATGACGAGCGCGGCATCGGAGCCCACGACGGCTAGCCGGAACAGGCCGTCTGCCATGGCCTCCTCCCACTGGCCGCGCCCGGCGTCCATGCACCTGACGCTCCCCGCGACCACATACTTGGTGGTGACAAACTCGGCCCGGATCGTCAGATGCACGCCCCCGTGGCGCTTCTCGTGCGTTGCCGCGGCGACGGGGTCTGGGGCCACGGTCGCCTTGACAAAGGCCAGGGGGTCGTCGGCGATGAGCTGCGTCTCCTTGATTCCGTGGCTGAGAAGTGTGCTCTGCCCGGCGTCAAAGATCTGCGATGTGATGAGGCTCACGACCTCAAGGTCTTCGGAGGCCATGGCGATGAGCTGCTTGGACTTCCCTCGGAGCCGCTCCTTCTCCTGGGAGGACCTCTGCAGCGCCTCCGCGGTGCTCTTGGAGACGTCTATCAACGACGACCGGAGCTCCGGGTACACCTTCAAGAGCTCCTCCCGCGTCAGCGAGTCGAAGGAGCGGCCCTTTCCGAGGATCTGCATGGCAGCATCTACGGTGGTGCTGGCCAGAGAGGGCTGCCTGGAGTTCCCCGTGTTGCTGGGGTCTTCTGAAAGGTTTATCCCGCCAGCAAACTGTGGGGCGTCTGGGTCCCTTTCGTAGGCCAGCGCGTAAATGCTAACATTGCCAGATGCGTGGCCTATGTAGAGCCGGGACCGTGCTTCGTGCCAGAACAGACACGTCCCAGGGGACTGGAGCCGGAAGGGATCGGAGATGGCCATGTTTCCGGTGAGCGAAAAGACGATGAAGAGGGGCTCTCGCGTGCAAAGGACGATAAGCGGGAGAGGGGACATCCTGACAGAACACGTTATGGTGCTGGAGCTCGTTATCCGCTTGTTCTGCATGTCCTGGAGAATTGCTCGGCGGCTCGTGGGGGCGGCATCAGGCACGGCAGACAGGAGCGACTGCTCTCTGACTGCATTTGCGTCTATGCCCATGGACTCGAGCCGCTTGTAGGCCTTCGCTTCAAGTCTTTCCTGCGCCCGCTGGTCCAACTGCACTTTGAAGAGCTCCTCCGGGTTCCCCGCCAAGACAGAGGCCTTGGGCTCGAAGATGAGGCGCGGATACATAAACTGGGAATCCGCCATGTAAACACCAAGGTCTGTGACAAGATAGTAGGCGTCCCCTATGATATACATGTTGAGGATGATGGACCCCTTCACGTCTGTGAGCTCGGCGTTATTTGGTATAGCCGACTCCACGGAGACTAAAGACGTCTTCCCAGAAACACCTGTCGCTGTTCGCATCAGTGACTGGAAAATGCTCTTATCTGTGAAGTCCTTATGCTGTTCGACATCCAAGTGGGCGCTCGAGACCTCGGAATAAAACCCGATAAAGTCGTACCACGTAACGAAACCGTCAAGATCCGTGTCTAGCTCCTCGAAAAGATCTATCAGCGCCTTGGAGATCCCTTCGAGCGAGACCTGATTGCCTGTGTAGGAGCGCGGCACAAAAGTCTGAATGGTTCTGGAGAGAAAGTCGAGCGTCACCTTGCGCCCATAGAAGAGCTTGCGAATGGTCTCCAGGTCTGCGGGATCGATTAGCTTGACGAGGTCAAGGGCCGTCTCGACAAGTGCCATCGATTATGCACCCGGCTTTGCAAAGGGTTCCGATTTTGGAATAATTGCACATTTTTCTTCATTGAGCACTGAACCCAGGTCTCAAACGCGGCTTGGTGGGTAGATTGCCGCGCAGACTCGGATACCTGGCAGGGCTGTGACGTGCGTCTACTGCTAAACCGAGGCTACCATCGTAGTCCTCGATTTTCTTTGTGCAAAACTTTATGAATCATCCGAGCCCTAAATCTACAAAATAAATTATACGATTGTAAACGTCGGCCCCGCACTGAATGTGAGCTATTTCGCTATTTGTACTACTTTGGATGAATTTTAGAAAATACCTTTTTTCGACGTTTACTAACTGTCTTGGCTTTTTATGACCTGGAAAAAATAATATGCCCTGCTACTGTGAAGATAATGGGGGGATGCCCCCTGACTACATTATTGCGGCTGCGTTTGGAGAGTGCAAGTATGGGAAGGGTGAAATAACTTCTGTGGTCTTCGGTTGGTTTTCAATCATATGCTGGATTATAGCGACGTATCCACAGATGCGTATGTCTTTTCTTCTTAAACGGTGTGAGGCTATATCGATTGCTTTCCTGATTCTCTGGTTCATCGGAGATCTTCTAAACCTCATCTCCCTTATCGTTATAGACGGACTGCTTACGCAGATCGTTCTCGGAGCCCTTTGGCTTGCCATGGATTTCATCCTGAACGGACAGTACTTTTATTACCAGCACAAGAACAAGGGGAAGGATCTTCCGGACCAGGACGTCAAGGCGATCACGCGCTACCGCGTCCCAGAGATAGTTATCTACACGGTTCTTTCTGCGGCTGTAGTCACAAGCTTTCTGTGCTATGCAATCCCTGCTGGTAACTATGTGCGAGTAGCAAGGACGCTGAGCAACCACGACGGCCTTGGAAACTGCAGTGCCGGCTCATCTGTCAAGGCGTATGACGTTCGCTGGTGGGTAGGATCGGTGATGGCGTACTGTACCATCCCCTTGTATTGCTTCAATCGCGTCCTTCAGGTGATCAAGAATTGCAAGAAGAAGGAAGTGGACGATCTCAGCATGGGGCTCTTCATCCTGATTATGTGTGCAAATATCTTCCAGTCTATCTCGATCGTAGTTGCAGACCCAACAGCTTCGGGGTTAAAGTCGCAGGCCCCGTATCTCTTTGGGGCCGTCTTCCCAGTCGTGATGGACGCCCTGATCCTCAGTCAGATCCTTTACTACAATAAAAAGAATAGCAAGCAGAAGAACGGGGGAAAGCCTGATGCTACTGATCCCCCTAGCTCAGTAGAGATGTCTCCGGCCACCGGTACTCTTTCAATTCCTACCATTCAATAGAGCGCGTGTAAACAGTGTTTACTGTTCATCCTCGTTGGGCAGCGCAGGGGGTCGGAGATCCACGCCCATGGCCACCTTTGCCTTTTCCAGCTCGATGGTGTGCCGCAGCTCGTCGCGTCTGCGTTCGAGCTCTTGTCTGCGCCTCGCGATCTCCTCGTTCTCCTTGACCATTCGATCGTAGATGCGGGCCTTCGTTGCATTGAGCATCGCCCGGCGCATCCGGGTCTCCTCGGAAAGCCTCTCTGCGTCCAGCGTCCGGGTGTCCTTGCGATAGAAGTCATCTGGGTTGATTTCTGAAGACTCTGACTCGCTGGCCTCCTGCTCGTCGCAACCGAGGTTGAGCTCCTCTCTGAGGCTCGTTGCATGGGCCTTCGCTAGTTGCGTTGCCAGGCTGTCGACTGAGGACACCTTGGCGGCAGCCTCGTCCTTCGCCTCCAAAAGCCCGTGCTCCTGCAGTCCCTTCACCGCAGCGACAGAAAGAGTCGTGATATCGACCATATTGTTTTTCTCGCGCACAAGCTGGTCGAGCTCCTTGACCCTGTCCGGCACGTATCCGTCTGCGTCAGCGGAGTCGTCATAAAAGGGAGAGACGTGGGGAGGCAGCACGGCCCCGGGCGCATACTCAGCGTGCGGAAGCGTGGTCCCCCAGTTGAGCGAGTCAAAGCACCACTGCGGTTGGAGGTACGCACAGCCATCTATTCGCGCGCCCACGACACCCTCTATGTTATGCGGCGGCCGATCTACTATAATATGCGTGGCCCCGTGAGGGGGACTTGAGTAAGTGAATACGTCTGCCCCGCCACTAAGAAGCACTAGTTCGAGGGGCTCGCGGGGAACCTCTCGGGAAATGGCGTGCTTCTGCCCAATAAAGGGCTTGACAGATGCCGGATTCAAGTTTCTAACCCCACCGTTCTTGTCACACGGTTCATCGCAGCCGTTGGGCCCGTAGATAAGAGAAAGGTCGACTTCGCTGGCAGTTGCATGTGCCCGAATATTCCCTACGAGTCTGAGAATGTAATCTGCTTCTTCCTGGACAGCAGGGGGGTACTGGTACCCGTTGAGAAGGACGCTGTAGAGACGGTATAGGACGAAGCCAGCAAAAGTCTGATAGAACTCTACGAAGCTCTTAAGAACCTTGAAATCGACAACGTCTGGGACGTCGAGCTGGAAACGGTGGGGGACGAGCCACGTGACCTTCACGCCCTGGACGACCGCTTGGTAGTAGTAACCCTTTGTCGAGACGAAGGCACGGACAAGACACCCTGTGGCTGCGATAAACGCATCCCACTCCCTGCAGAGACGCTTGCAGTTGTCGATTATCTTTTGGGGTGCGTGTTCTGAGGACAACCTGGAGAACATGAAGAGGAGGCAAAGGGCGTCGTCGAAGTCGGAAAGAGCGTCCTTGAAGGTGGGATAGCGTTCCAGCACAACGTGATCCAAACTGATAATCGGCATCTGGGCCTGCAAGAGCTTTGCCTCGAGGACATTTGCTCGGGCCTTCATCCGCTTGATACGCTTGAGCTGCGCAGCAATCTCGCGAATCTTAGGAATGATGGGATCGTGGAATAAGTGGACGATATCCTTGCGCAGAAAGTATGACGTGTCCCCTGCGAACTTCTTCGGAGGCACCTGAGGATAGATGCCCTTTATGATACAGACTCGGCGGAACTCCCCGAGGGTGAGCTGCAGCTTTCGACACGCCTTGTTGCGCGGCATGAACCGCATCTCCATGCTGTTGGGATCCTTACGCCTAACAAGCGGCATGCCCCTCAGACTGCAATTATTTAACCGAAGCCGAATCAGTGCGAGTTCGTTTACATTAAAGATGCTCTAAACGGATTCACACACATCTACCATCGCGACAGGCGCCAGTTCCGTAGCAGACCTTCCCATCATCTGTCAGGCACTCCGGAGAGACGCAGTCGTTCCCGATCAGGGTTCCGTCCCTGCGGCACTCACAGACGTGTGCGTTGCCCTTCTTGACGCATCTTCCGTAGCCGCTGCAAACGCGCCGCTTCCCGTCCTCGTATTCGGTGACGCACTCATCAGGCATGCAGCCCCAGCTTAGAACGTAGGTCTCTCCGCTCGGGCAGTCGTAATCTCCACAAAAATCGCCGTGGAAACCCTTGTTGCACTTGCACTCGCCGTCCTGGCACACTCCGTTCCCATTGCACTCCTTGAAGGCGACGTCGTCGCTTATGCAAGTATCGCTCACGCAGGTGGAAGAGTCCAACTGGGTATACCCGAACTTGCACTGGCAGATGTAAGTCACGTCTGCAGGGTCGCTGGACTCCCTGTAGGCCGTGCACGTCCCATGGTCGCTGCAGACAACAGACTTTCCATCAGGCCCCGTGGAGATGCAGTTGAGAGAGACGCAGCTGCCGTCCTCCATGGCCAAGGCGTCCTCGCTGCACTTCTGGCAATACGTTCCGCCGTAGAGTGGATTGCAGACGCAGCGCCTCTTGTCCATGTCGCAAGTGCCCTTGTTGGAGCAGAGCTCAGGGTAGCCGTAGTCAAACGTCGCGCTGATGCAGGAGTTGGGAATGCACTTATTCTCGAAGGCGGTGTACTCTGCATCACACTTGCAGTACGATTGGTTCATGAAGACCGTGCACTCTCCATGAGGGCAAACTTCTCCGCCAACAAGACAAACCGCGGGCGTGCACTCAGCGGTGCCAATAAGCACATAACCAGGATCGCAGACGCAGGACTCAGTCTTGCACGAGCCGTGCTTGGCGCAAACGTGTCCATCCTGTGCAACGCACGTGTCCTTGACACACTGGCCCTCAGAATAGACGTAGCCATCCTCGCACTCGAAGACCTTGTACTGACAAACGTCTCCGTCATAGCCGTCATCACAGATGCACTTGCGCGTTTCGTCACAGTATCCGTGGCTAGAACAAAAGACGTTCGGATTCTCGGCAGACATGCACGTAGCGGGTATACAGAGAAGGTCGACGTTGACTGTCCCAAAGTCACAAAGGCACGCGCTCTCATCACCGAGTGGCGGAAGCCCATAGCAGAGCCCGAAGCCACCGCACTCGACAAGTTTGCCGTCGGAGCGCTCCGACAGACACTCGTTGGGGACGCAGCGGCCTTCATACTCGGTTGCAATGTCGGAGCATTTCTCGCAGTGCTCTCCGGTTGCCACCTTGTCGCATCGGCAGTGAGGCTGGTCGTTCTCATCATAGACGCAGTCGCCGTAGTAGCTGCAGACGCTGTAGTCAACCATGCAGAAGGGGTGTATGCAATCGCTTCCAAGATTAATGTAGCCGTCCATGCAGTCACAGGAGTAGAGCTCTCCCTTCAGGGTGCAGGATCCGTGACGCCCACAGACATATTGTGTGCGTCTATCTGAGCAACCACTAGGGTAGCACCCAAGCTCCGTCAGCAAATAGTCATCCTCGCAGTTGCACGTGCCCTCTCTACACGAGCCATGACCGTTGCAGACGGCGTCCTCAAAGACGCAAGTCTCCGGATAACAGGTTCCGTTTACATCCACCTCGCCATCAGGGCAGACTATAGCTAAGGAAAAGCAGAGAAAGGCCGCGGCTATCATTTTATATTCAAATTGTTAATTTTTTTAGACTGAGTATAGGGGCAAGCTCTACTCTCCATACAAATTCACCGGTACTGCGTTAGGAGGACTGGTAGCTTGCCTTCTAAGACGTCTTTTCCAACTCGCAATACCTACTTCAAAGTGACACCCCTTTGAATGCTTAGTTGTAAAGACACAAAGGGATCAAATTTACGCAGAGCCATCAGTGCGCTCATATGAAGAAGCTAACTGAAAATTTCCAGATTCCGTCGTTGGGACTATAGCTGATAAGCTGTGCGTCTCTCTTCTGGGTCTCGTTCTTTATGATGGCTGTGAACTTCTGCACGCTTGGAAGGTCGTACACTCGTTCTCCTCTGTTGACTGGAAATATGTTGTAGAGGGTGATGATGGCCTCCTTGTTGAGCTTCTCGCCGCGGCGGTGTCTGTCCTTATAGGGAAGGGTATTGGGATACACGGTGGCGCTCTTGTGTCCAATGTCGACAATTCTATCTATATCTACGTCGGTAAGATCTGTCTCTCCAGGCCACAGAATCTCTCCGTTTGCCTCCGAGATGACCCGGAAATCTTTGATGGCTTGAAGCTCGTCGATTGACATGGCCTGCAGCTCAGAGATCGAAGGGACGGTGTGATAGTCGGTGCGTGTAAGGACAGGTTTGTGCGCAGAAGCCAAAGGGTAGTGAATTCCAGGGTTCGCTTCGCTTGCGCTCTCGTCCTCTTCCCGATAGCTTGGTATGTTGCATGCGGGTACTTCATCTTTGCCTATGCGGATAACTGTTGGATTTGCGAAGGGCGCAAACTGGTGCTGCGCTGACTCAGATGACTCTCTGGAGCCCCGCGGAAGCAAACCGACGGCTGCAGCTCTGGCTGCTGCTGCGCCAAAGGAGGATGTGCCGGACAGACCGAACCTGTTGTGGGCCTGGTCGTCCAAGAGCCGCAGGCTCTCCTGGGGGATGCCGGGCCTCCTCGTTGCAGCAGAGAGACGCACGGAGGCAGAGGCGGACGAAGTATTGGTTAAGATCTTCGAAAGGCTGGTTTCCAGTGCGGACGCTTCTGTCGCCACCGATGCCACTGAGGGCTGCGCCGCTTGGGGCTCCGGGGTGTCTGCCACTTGCCGTTTGATCATGTCCCCAATGAGGCTGACTAGCTGCTGCGTGTTTGCACCTTGAGGCGGATGCTGAGCCGAAGCAGCGGTGTTAAAGCCCCCAAAGGTCTGCTGCGGCTGGCTAACTCCCTGGCCGAAAGCTTGCTGGCCGAAGGGTTGTCCAAGCCCGCCACCGAAGGTGTTCGTATTTGACTGTCCGAACGAAAATCCCGACTGCGGCTTCTGCTGGGTATTGCCGAGTCCAAACCCTGAGCCAAACCCCACTCCGGGCCCAGAATTGCCCTTGAACGTGCTCAAACTGGAGAATTGGCTCCCCTTATTCATGGACAAGTACAGCTTCTCAAGAAATGACGTCGCATCTTGTGCTATGTTCATTCGAGACAGCAGTAGGGCGAATAGTGGGCGTGGTTGGTTTTTTATTCGGCCAATTTACTAGTTAAGGGTCAAAATCGTTGTGGGAGAAGTACGGGTGCTCGAGAGCGTTCTTCGCGCTAATGCGCTTGACGGGATCCATCTCGAGCATGGCAGTGAGGAGGTCGAGTCCTTCATCGTCAAGAAGAGCCCCCAAAACTCTCTTGAGAGTCTTCCCCCGGAACTTCGGGAAGCTCTGCTTCCAATCTGGGAGGGCCGTAACCCCAGGCCACGTTGTGTCGTCGGGGAGCCCGAGTACCTCAAATATCTTGAAAAGCTGGTCAATCTCACTGTCGCCGGGGAAGAGGGGTGTCTTCATCAGCATCTCGGCCCAGATGCATGCAATGGACCAAATGTCGACAGACGTGCTGTAGTGTCTGCTGCCAAGGAGGATCTCGGGCGGCCTGTACCAGAGTGTGATTATCTCGTGTGTGAACTGACGAATGGGAATGCCGAACGCTCTCGCCAGGCCAAAGTCCCCTATCTTCAAGACAGGGGTCTCGGACGCATCGCTGACGCTGAGGAGCAGATTCTGAGGTTTCAGGTCTCGGTGGAGGCAGCGTCTGCTGTGGCAGAAGTTGACTCCATTGATGAGCTGATACAAGAATGACTTGATCACGCGCATGCTTACATCAGGGTTCTTATCCATGTACTTCTTCAGGTCGTTCTCGGCATACTCGAAGATCAGATGGAGACGGTGATTGTGATGGATAACGGACTTGAGCTCGATAATATTGCGGTGCTGGAGCTCCTTAAGGAGAGACACCTCCCGAATTGCAGTCCCTGGAACCCCCTCCTCTTCGTGCTCGAGCCGAATCCTTTTAATCGCCACGGTCTCATTCGTGACCGTATCAATCGCCTTGTAAACCTCTCCGTACGTGCCCTCCCCGAGCTTCGTAATCCGCCGATAGCGGTCGATTGAGGTAGCTGACGGGGCTGCAGACACGCTCATGTTTTTGAATTTTTGGAGGCCGGTCTCCAGTTTCCGAGATGTAGATACAATTTATTCAAATTGGGCCATGCTCTCCGTCTTCTTTGAAACGCCTGCCATGCAAAAGTGCTGCAAGCAACTCGATAGCAGTGGAATATTCCATTCTTCTAACTCAGAAAGTTTGGAATGCAGAGGCATATTGCTTCCAGCCAAGAGGAGCGCCAAAGAGCCCATCTCGATAGACAGTGGGATGGACTCTTCAAAGTGCCGCTGCAGCAGGGTCTGGGCCTCTTCCGCGTCTAGCTTGTATGTGTAATGGGGGTACAGTGCCCGGCAGACCAGAAGCTTCACTATGACGGCTCTGACCACGCGGCGCATGTGCGTCAGGGTGCTCACCTTGAAATTTTCGTAGCATCGCTTAATGATCGGGATGGTTTCCACGCCTACACACGGCTCCTCCGCCTCTCTGCTCACAAGGTGGCGATACTCTGGCTGTGTCCCCATGGTCAAACAAAGAAGCCTGATAACGAGTCGGCACTGCGAAATAGAGAGGTCTTGGAGGCGGCCACAGTATACTTCTATAACGTTAGTACAAAGAGCCGTCGTGGTAATCGTGCCGGAAAAGTATGTCTCTGTGATGCATAGGACTATTAAAAGCCATTCTTCGGGGGAGATCTCGACTGGTTTCCATTCGTAGGCCTTGTGGATGGAAGCTTGATAGGCCATCTCTCTACCCAGGTCTGTCAGGCACAAGCCATCGCCGGGGCCAAACCGCGTCACTGCTGCTGCGAGGGCAAGCGTGTCTAAGAGCTCCACATCCCCATAGAGCAGGGCTACCTTCTTTCTGGCCTCTTGGGAAAGCATCCCCGCGCCGACCACGTGTTCTGCCACTAGTCCTGTACTGTGGCCAATCCGTTTTGGGTGCACCGTTTTTCTAGAAAAGATGACGTCTAAGCCGTCGTAGAATCGTTGGAAGATGCCCTTTATGGTGCTGTATATGCTAGAATCGTTATAGAAGATCGTCACGTGTCTCAGCGCAGATCCTAGAGCATCTACTAAGACATGGAGTAATGACTCTGATGTAGCGCCGTTGAAGAGCAGCAAGCCCTCTGCAGCCGGAAGAAGCACCCTGTACTTCCGCATGTACAAGAGTATATCATTACTGCTTGAAAAGATGATGACCTTGTACTTGCACAAATCGTCTTTAGCGCTAATCAAATCATGCAGCCTGTCCGGCCGGATGTGATAAAACTCATCTGCTGAAAGGACAGACAGTAGCACGTGTTGCAAGCTTTGTACGTAAGAGCCTGTCAGACACGAAATATAGATGCAGCCGCTTGTGACTGTAACCAGGTTTCTGAAGTAGACTGTCATGGCTTGGTCAGATAACGGTGGAACACAAAGCAGGGCAACCCGAGCCAATGGGGAAGAGACCGTCGAAAGAGGCACGGCGACGCTGCGCTTCCAGAGATAATAGTGATACGTAGATTCGTGAGTTGGTCGAAACAGCTGAGCTACCGCGCTTACTGAGAGGGAGCACGAGGCTGTATAGATGTTTATGCGCGTTAACCTTGTGCTTATATCTGCACTCATATCATGATAAGCATACAGTAGCAAGAGTATGTCTGATGTGAATTCGGTCGGATTCGAACTAAGAGCACTTAAAGGGCTGAAGATAGGGTCAAAGAGTTGGAGTCTGGTGGGGCCCTGGCTCACGTTGAGGCATAGTTGCGCAGCGAGGGAATAGTACCCGAGGACAATCCTTAGAGCGCGTCCTTGCTTACGTGCACAATCAGCATAATAATAAAGGTATGTGATAGAATCGACAGTGATAGAGCGGAACAGAGCCTCTAAGGAAGTTTGTTGGCTATGTGCAATGGGCGACGGAAGAGCAATCTCCATGGATTCGATACCGCCAGTATGCACAGCATCAATAAACCAGCGAGAGGAGAGCAACTTGAGATAGGTTTTTATCAAACGTGTACCCCGACGAGTCTGCGGAAACACAGCCAGAGTGCTTACTCTATGATCATTCCCCTCTAGCACGTCGTGTAGAAGTGCAGCTATTGCAGGAAACACAGGGTGTACACGGTTACCATGATGGACCACTGAAACGTTGTCGCTTGCATGTAATGCTGTCAATTCCAGGACCTCATTGCTACACTCTTCTCCAAGGTCAATCAGTCCTGCTTCACACATGTCACTCAGAGCGCTGCACAGAGATGTATTGGCAAGCCATAAGTTCCGGGGGCAAGTATCTATATAACGATGGAGGGTGGCGGAGGGCCTATCTCCATCAAGAAGCTTCAGTAAGATCTCCCACAAAGAGCAGTAATCCTTCAGAGCTTCCGTAACCAGGTTGGCCAGCGTTTGGTCGGACAAGGGCCAAGCTGTTAGGATGTCATGGAGAAGCCTCCTTCCTTTTCGAACAACCGCATAACTATAATTGTACCAGTCATCAATCAGTGCACTCCGAACGGCACCATCCATCCCCGGGTAGAGTGTCAAGCCGCAGTGGGTGGATCCCGAGTCACTAAGAAAAGACGCGAATAAAAAACCAGAACAGCATTTAATTGGTATGTCTCAGGAGCCCAGTTCTAGCTTCTCGGATGGATTCATGGAGTCCGACTTTTCACAGGGAAGTTTTTCGGCATCTGACGACGCCGAGTTGAGTATCCCGTCTGAGTTTGCGGAGTCCGTGGACGAGCTTTCGTCTTCCTCTGACAATGGGGATCAGGGCCAACCTTTAACCGAGCCCAACAATATCCCGATCGACGAAGACACCGTTTATAATATATGGGGCCAAGTGGTCGGAACACGCCGTAAGGACATTGGGCCCGATGGTTCCAGCCTGGACATGTTTCTAGAGCGGCACAAAGACACAAACGAATTCTTTAGGACAGTATACGACCCTGCTAAAGGTTACAAGAGGGCAAATCTAACGCCAGAAGAAGAGGAGATGATCCGCAATGTTATGGTGTCCAGGCCTTACAACGACGCCCCTGGATTATCCCGGATGAACATCCAGTCTACTCTTGTCAATAAAAACATCATGAGGACAGCTCTTACGTCGGACATTGTGGGTCCTAAGGAAAAGTATGCATCGAAGGCCATTGTGCGCAAGATTGAAAAGCTTAGGGAGGGAATTGAGCGTGGAGAAATAGTCTATGATCCAAATCGTTATAAGGTAGATGAGAACAGGGGACTGGTAGTGGGCAATCGAGATCTTTGGGCAGACGTGGACGAAACAGAAGACCCGTCCATGCGCATACCAAAGGGGCGCGGAGAGATGTACATGAACCCCACAAAGCCAAAGCTTCCTGGGCATGCCCTGAGCTACAACCCGCCGCTGGAATACCTTAACATTGACGGCGATGGATCCCAACAAAAGCTCCAAAGCCTGCGACAGATCAAGACATACACTAACTTTGTTAAGGATCAGTTCGATCGCTGCGTTACTCTCTACTTGAATCCGCGTCAACGGCTCCGGAAAGAGGAGGACATGGACAGCATGCTACCAACTCTACCGAACAGGTCGCTCCTGACACCGTACCCAACATTCTGCGCCATGACCATCCGGACGGGAACAAGACGCATAAACGGGCTCACGTTCTCCCCCAAGGGAATGTTCTTTGCTGTGGGAGGGCGCGACTGCATTTTGAGAGTTTTCGAAACCTACTCCGGACGCCAAGTCAGAGCCATCCCTGTTCTATCCACAAAGAAGCTGGAGAAGAAAAGCATCAACTTTCTCAATCTGGAAATCAACTGCTGCAAATGGTGTCCAAGGACTGATGTGAGCATCATTGCTGTGTGTGCAGGGGACGAACTCATTTTCGTTGACGCTGGGATCTGCGAAAGTGGGAATTACAACGAGGTCAGGGAGCGAACACGCTTTCTTCTGAATGCTCGGCCCGAAACCACTCAGCCGTGCCCCCACATGGCTTGGGAGATGCATGCAGGTGTGACTTCAGGCGGAAAAAGCTACGCCTCTGGGTTTGTCACGCAGGTGTCTAGCAATGCGTACAACGAGGGCTCTGAGGACGACGACGCGGCCGAGTCGGCCCGCTTTAACGAGGAGCGCCACCAAAGGGGACACGAGGGCCAAATCGATGCAGACGTCTACACCGTGTATACTCGTCTCAATCAGTTTGTTTTACTGAGAATCCACCACACACATCTTGTCAGCTTCTGCAACTGGCACTTTCAGGGTGATTACATCGTCACAGTATGCACCGATGATAAAAGTCGTGCAAAGGTGACCCTTCACCAACTCTCAAAATGGCACAGCCTGTCTCCTTTTAATAGACTCAAGTCAAAGATTATAGGAGCACACTTTCGAACAAAGAAATCCGAGCTTATCGTTGTGTCAGAGCGGTCGTCGCGCATATACAACCTGCTGACGGGTGACAAGTTGTCCACGCTCTACCCAGGAGTAAAGCAAGTGACAGCCAGTGGCATGGGTTATGGAGACAACTTCATCACGGGGAGTGCCGACTCCCAGTGTGCCCTGTTTGCCAACGCTGCTGGGCCCGAGCCCACTGCAAAGCTCTGCTACCACACTTCAACAATCCGGAACATCGACGTCCACCCTTGCGGAGGCCTAGTAGCTACGTGCTCGGATGACGGAATTGTGCAGATCAGCCGTATCGTAGATGCGTCTCTTGTGAAGATGCATCCGGGGCAATTTGACGAAAAGCTGTACAATAGGATGATTCCATGCGTCGTCCTAAATCGACGGCGACAGGCGGCAGACGGGTCTGTAGGTATCAGTAGGGTCACGTGGCACCCAAGACAGCCCTGGCTCCTCTGCAGCGGGACAGACGGGGTCCTGCGCCTCTTCAAATGAATTCAAGACTAAAGTATATTAATTTGAATTCTCACTAAGCTGCAAAAAGCCAACAGAACTTGTCTTGATGTCAGCTGCAGGAGAGCCCATGTATCCCAAGCAGGCGGGGAACCTGAAGAAGGGTGACTACATTGTCATGAAGGACGTTTTCCCCTGCAAGGTAACGGAGATTTCGACCTCCAAGACGGGCAAGCACGGTCACGCGAAGTGCTCCATCACCGCGGTCGACATCTTCACGGGAAAGAAGTACGAAGACTCGTGCCCCTCGTCCCACAACATCATGTGTCCGAACGTCTCCAGGACGGATTATCTGTTGATCAACATCGACGACGAGTACGCCTTCTACTTCGACCAGAACGATGCAGAGCAGCAGGTTAGGCTCCCGCTGGAGAACGAGGAGCTGGTGGCAGACCTCCGCGCAGCCTTTGAGGCCGGGGACAAGACGATCATGATCAACATCCAGAGGGCAATGAACACGGAGGGCATCGTTGCCTTTAAGACAGAGACGAATAAGTAAGTAAACAGTCACACCTTTACTGGTCTTGTAGGAGGGTGCTGCTGGTGTGCGCCACGTGTTCCGCCGCCCTACGAAGGACGGACGCTGTGCTCTGGGACGCCCTGTCTGTCGCTTCTGTGAGGAACTTGGATAGTGCAGCGCTTGATGCCTGGCGAAGCGCAACGGGCGTCCTTGTCAGCCCACAGTGGGCAACCGTTGCCACATCCGCCACAGCCTCAGGAGAAGCGTCCTTGAGGTCCTTCAGCGCAAGAAGAACCCTTCCTCCGAGCATATTTTGCAAAGCATGGAAGCGCCGGTTGGTCAAGTCCGCACCTGTTGCAGGCTGCTTTGGGAGTCTCTCGATAAGGAACCAAAGCTTGTGGCCCAGCATAGAGGAGGCATAGTCCGTGCACTTCTCTGGTTCTGTAGAGCGTAAGTTGGTGACGAAGTTGAGAAAAGCACGGATTGAGTAGGGATCCTTGTCGCAAAGAGCTTCAGGCTGCTCTTCAGCGTCCTTCTTTTCCATCTCTGAGTCTTTCTTTTCCTTAGACAATTCGTGATAGAAGATAACGCTCTTCCTGTACTTCTCAGTGAGCCCCTCTTCACAGGAGAGTATAACATCGCTAAGCCTCTTCATACGCTCGTCATCGAGCTTTAGGATGTATAGGACAAGCTCCAGTACAAAAAGTAACGCTTCTCTGGTGCTTGCTTGAGTCATGAGCTTCTTTTGGTAGTCCAGAAGTGCCCTCCAATAAGTAACAAGGTAGCCAACTCGTACTACATAATGGTGAAAGTCCAAGAGCTCGTAGTAGCTATCGAAGGCCAGCTCGGTCGTCGTAAGCGCGGCCTTAATTCTGGTGGCAAGCAACTCAACAGCATTTGACCCAGGCCTAGCGTCTATCTTTCCGTCGATGAAAGGGTCTACGAGCCTGGCAACCGAATCAGGATCCTGATAGTCTCGATACAGAAATCCCATGACCGAAACATCTTGAGTGTCTTGACAGACCAACCATGGGTCTGCCTGATAGATGAACTTTCCGTACATAGTATATGCCTCAGGAATGGCATTAACTTGCATGTGCATGTCCACAGCTATACGAGAGGCACTACGATCGCTGTTATCGATGATAGAAACCAGCTCAGACATGATAGAGGCTGAGCGCGGAAGACCCAAGATGTGGAGCATCTTTGCATAGAGGGTGAAGATGTCTGGATTAAGGCGTCCGGCAATTAGCTCTTCCGGACTCTTGAAGCGTAGTACGGTGAGACGGTCCGTTAGCTCTTGTGTGTACTCTTTCTTGAATGCATCAATCTGTTCTTGGGATGCATTATCATTCAGATAGCTTTTGCAGGCACAGAGTTGCCTGGTGGAGTCCACGAGCGGTAGATTTGCGTCTTCAGTCTGGTTACAAGGCAAGAGCACCTTCTCTAGAATGCCACGGCATCGCAGAAGATTACAGTCACCATCTCCGGGATTCAGCTGTGCAAAGGCATAGCTAAAGTATGCGTTGATGTAAGCGCTGTGCTGTACTGGGTAAGATCCACCAATCAAGTCCTCGTAGAGTTGAGATGCCACGTCCTTCTCTAGCTGGTTGACTAGCTTCGAGATATAGTGCAACAGCCCAGGAGATACACGCTTGCCGCTTAGAACAGTGTGTATCTCTGACTTGAAGGCTGTGTAATCTGAGGACATGAATGCCAGCTGTATGCAAAGAGTTCGGTCGAAGAAGGAGTTTCTGGAGGCATGACGCCCTTGCCGTGGTTTCTGTATTGGATCGAGAAGGTGGAAAAAGCACGCTGGAAGAGGCTTTGTACTACATGGGCACTCTATGGTTCCGGCGATAAATTGAGAGTAGGCGGAGTATAGGATGGCGTACTCGTTCGCTGTTGCCAAAACGCAGTCTCCTTCTGTCCGCCCTGTTAAGTTGACAACGCAAGTGATACCGTGGAGCTTCTCCAAGTAGAGCTCGAAAATCTTTTCATAGACGAATAAATCAAAAGGGGTGTAGCAGTATAGGCGGCGCAAAGTAAGCAGATACATGTCCTCGCAGGCCTTGTAGACAGTGAGACTTTGGCGCAATAGCTCTTCTCTATCATAGCGCTTTGTAGAACGGGTCTTTTTCAGTTGCACAGGAAACTCCTCCAGCTGCTGGTGGAACGCTTTAACGCTATTATTCTTGCCGCTTTCTGCTTTAAGTGCAAGGACACAATGCTCAGCTTGCAGGGCTTGCACATAGTCAAAGTAAAAACTCCTATATAGAGACGCGTCACGGTGCGCTGAGCCGCCTTGGCTTACAGCCCCTGCTGCTGCCTTCTGAAGGATGCCCTTGAACTCCGCCGAGGAGGCCGCCGCAGCGTCCAGCCTGTTCTGGATCATGTTGCAGAGAAAGGACGTGAAAGCAAAGATTCGGGGCGCTTGAGAGGCCTTGGTAGATGACGCCATCGAAACAAAGGACAAGAGCGACTGCTCACACTTCTTATAGTCCCCTGTATGCAAATATAGAATGGACAGCTCCTTATAGAAGAGAGAGTTGGACGGGGAGAGGGCAGAGGCCTTTTGCAAGTACTCTATGGCGGAGGCCTCAAGGTGCTCATGCCGCCTGATAATGCTTGCAATGTGGAATGGAATGTAGCTTTTCAACCCTTTCTCAGCTACCTCGATTGCCTCATTGATTAGTCGCCAGCCCTCTGAACGCAGGAAGATGGGAATGCTGAGGCCCCCTATTTCCTCCGAAGAAAAGACTCCAGAAGCGTGCGAAATAGGAAGATAGTACGTTGCAGCGCCCTTCATTGCCATGATGTCTGGGTTGCTCGGAAGCCTGGCGATGAGGTCGTTACAAGTCGTAAAGCATTCCACATACTTTCCGTTGTCAAAGTCTGTGTAGATGGTATTTATGGCTTTAGCGTCCTTTGGGCTAATGTCTGACGAGGCCTGGGTCGACTGTTTTTGGCCGTGACGCGCGTTTCCACGCCCTTTCTTGTACGACATTTTTTGAAATATTAACTAATTCACATAGAAATGACAGTTCCCACTCCGGCCTGAGAGGCTCTCAGGCAGATCTCGTGGCCTACTACGACGTCCTGAACAGCAGAACCTACGGTCTTGAAAACGATCACCTCGTCCTCGCTCTGGCGGCCACGGCAGCGGCCTGCAGCGACCTCGCCTATCTCTCCGATGACTCTGTCTGCACTAAAGACACCCTCTTCGATGGGTATTAAGAGGTCTCCAGCTTCGCTGAGTGCCCCGCTCCTAGTGTCTACGTAGACGGAGGCGTGCGCGATTAGATGCGAATCCACCTCGCGACAATTAGGAAGATATGCGCCTACACAGGAAACCAGGGCCCCCTTAGGCACTGCCTTGCCATCGAAGACGGGGACGCTGGAAGCAGTCGTAGTGACGATGATGTCTGCCCTGGCTGCTGCGGCAGTCCCCGCCTCGAACCCAGACCCTCCATCGACGGTGGCGAGACCCAGCCTCTGAGAGGCCCAGGAAGCAATGGCATCGCGTGCCTCTTTAGTATTATCGACAAAGATGGCCTTCTCAATACTGGGGCGGGCAGCCTTGATTGCCTCCAGTGCGGCACGGCCTTGCATTCCACAACCGATAATCAGAACAGTCTTGGCGTTTGCTCGAGCAAGATGCTTGGCGGCAACTCCGGAGGCAGCGCCAGTGCGCAGGTAAGTCAGCGCAACTCCGTCGAGCAGGCCAGAAACAGCCCCTGTCGATGCGTCCACATCGCAATAAAGAGCAGGAACCGTCGGCAAGCCGCGTGCTCGATTTCCCCCTCGAACAGACACGATTTTCACACCCACAGACTCGCCCGTAGAAGCAGGCATGAAGAGCGTTGAACCATGATCTCCAACCTGGAGGCATGTACGTAGAGGTGTCTCGCACCCGCCCCGCGAGTATGCTACAAAAGCCGCCTCTGTGGCTTCGACGGCATCCTTCATCGGATAGAGTCTGAATGCCTCGTCCTTCGAGATGACGCGCATAGAGCTGGCCATGAGGCTGAAACTTAGTGTCTAATCTTTAAATTTTTGAAAGTCAGTGTTCTAGTCCCGAGCCAATTCTGAGGACTGTTTGGACCGTGATCGAGTCGTGGCAGCATAGCTTGTCGCAGCGTCCTTAGGCGTTTTGTATAATTAAAAAATGACATCTCAGCACCTTTCGGACACTTCAGAGTTTAAGCTTTTGCTAGAGGGTTTTAACCAGCTGCATGTGCGATCTGCGTCTTACACCCCCACTCAGAACGGCTATAGCCCACTTCAGAGACCCATTAGAGAGCATCTCAAGTACGGAGTCATTAATCTCGACAAGACTGCAGGACCCTCATCTCATGAAGTTGTTGCCTGGATCCGCCGCATTTTGGAGGTGGAGAAGACAGGCCATTCAGGCACACTCGATCCGGGCGTCACGGGTTGTCTGCTTGTTTGTCTGGACCGGGCCACCAGGCTGGTGAAGTCCCAACAGCTCATGGGGAAGGAATACGTCTGCGTGCTCCAGTTCAAGGACCTGGCCGCGCTTAAGGACGAGGACGCCCGCAAGGCCTTTTCGGCCTGCCTGCAGCAGGCTCTTGCGACACTCAGGTGCGCCCAGCTGCAGCTTCCCCCCAAGGAAGGCTGTGCTGTGAAGCGTCAGCTGCGCGTCAGGGAAATATATACCTTGGATTTATTAGAGTTCAACTTCAAAACGGGGCAAGCAGTACTGAGGGCGTCATGCCAGGCAGGGACATATATGCGCACCCTTTGCGTTCACATAGGGCTTCTCGTGGGTCACGAGGCATACATGCTAGAGCTTCGCCGCGTCAGGTCCGGTGAGCTAACCGAGAAGACCAACATGGTTACGCTGCACGATGTCCTGGACAGCTTCTGGTGCTGGAAGAACCTGGGCGACGAAAGCTATCTCCGAAAGGTCGTGATGCCTCTCGAATACTTGCTGAAGTCGTACAAGCGGATTTTCGTCAAGGATTCGTCCATCAATGCGCTGACCTATGGGGCTCCACTCCACATCCAGGGCGTCTTGCGCTACGACCCTCGCATCAGCATCGGAGACACGGTTGTCCTGGTTTCCACGAAGGGCGAGGCCGTGGCCCTGGGGACGGCAACCATGGGGGCCCAGGACATCATGGGCGTGAGTCGCGGGATCGTAAGCAAAGTCAAGCGCGTCATCATGGACAGGGACCTCTACGACCGCCAGTGGGGCCTGGGGCCGACCGCCCTTCTGAAGAAGCAGCTTATCAAGAACGGCCAGCTGGATAAGTATGGAGGCATCAACAAGGACACACCGAAGGAGTGGGTGGAGAGGTTCCAGAACACGGAGGAGTTTCTAAAAACAGCGGGGAATACCTGCGGAAACAGCACCGAGGGTGCGAACACTAAAGATGCAGATGGGCGCCAGCGGGGGCTCAAGAAGTAGTCCCTTGGCCAGGCTAACCAAAAAAGTATATTAAATTTAATTTCATTTTCCCCACGGTCTAAAAAGGGGCCTCGAGATGCCGACCAGAATCAGGAAGTCACGCAAGCGCCGCGGCCACCGCCAGATGGGTTACGGTAGAGTCGGCGGACACAGAAAGCACCCCAGCGGCCGAGGGAAGGCCGGCGGTCTGCAGCACAAGCGCACGAGCTTCGACAAGTACCATCCCGGTTACTTCGGGAAGCTTGGCATGAGGAACTACCATGTCCGTAGGAACATAGAATACAACCCCACAATTAATATCGACAAGATTTGGTCCCTAATTCCTGAGGAGCAGCGCGACGGGTTCCTGCAGCGCAAATCGACAACAGAGGCGCCGGTCGTCGACGTGACCCGCTTCGGCTTCTTCAAGGTGCTCGGCCGCGGGTCTCTTCCTCAGTGCCCGATAATTATCAAGGCGAGGTACTTCAGCTCCGACGCCGAGAAGAAGCTCCGCGAGGTCGGCGGCGTCCCGCTTCTGGTGCCCTAGACACAGCGCCGAGCAGTAAACTGGAATTGACCGTGCGCTGATGCACGCCCAGGCCCGAAATCACTCCGTGTTCACTTCGCTTATTCTACTGGCTCCTCTTGCCGTGCAGTCACTTGAGGTTATCCTGGACCCACTTAACGAAGAGCTTCCTCAGGTCCTCCTCCTTGGCAAGGTACTTCTTGCAAAAGGGCAACTTGAGGAGCTGTGCGGCAGTCATGCGCTTTGAGGGGTCTTTCTCGAGCATGGCGTTGACAAGGTCGCAGAGCCCCGGGCTGTACCCAGCATCCTCCTTCAACAGAGGGGGGGCTCCGTTGACGATGACGTTCATAGCATCCCAGAAAGAGTTCACGTTATCGTATGGATAGGAACCCGTCAGAAGCTCGACATATGTCAGCCCCATGCTCCAGACATCTGAAACGTACGAGTAAGGCTGGTTCTGGATGCGCTCTGGGGACATGTAGGACAACGAACCAACAAACGTCTTCATGGCAGCCTCGTCGTCGTTCGGCAGCACGGATGAAGCGACCCCGAAGTCGGCGAGCTTACAGTAGCCGTGCTCGTCGATGAGGATGTTGGCAGACTTTATATCTCTGTGGATGATCTTGCAATTGTCGTGAAGATACGCCAGGCCGCGGAGTGTATCAATAATGAAAACAGCAAGGGCGTTTTCAGTGAGCTTCCCCGTCTTGAGCTTCTTAAGCATATCCTGAGAAGACCCGTACTTACAAAACTCTAGCAATATGTGAAGGATGGACCCTGGATGGGAATATATGTTGTACGTCTTGACCATGTACGGGTTGCACGAAAGGCTGATGCTGGCCTTGATCTCCCTGTAAATGTTCTTCTGAGTCTGCTCCTCGTCGCTAATGCGGATCTCTTTCATTGCACAGAGCTGCCCGGTGGTCTTGACTTTTACTAGGTTCACCGTCCCGAAGGCGCCGGCTCCGAGGGGCTTGACGACCTCGAGGTCGCTCTCCTGGACGTTGAGGATATGCTCGGGGCTGCTGGTCTTTGTGATGCCGTGCGCCGATATTTGAAGAGACTCGTGTAAAGTATTGAGGGACCCCGAGTCGGTTATCTTGATGTACTGCGTGCCGCTGCCTCCTTTCTGGACATCCTCCACGCCACCATCTGCGGAGGCGGTCGAGGCATCGAGCGTAAGAGCCATCGGGCGTCGCTTCATGGATTTTTAATTTTGTAGGCCACCGGCGATAAAGTGCCACGGGGCTTCATTTACATGGAAGAAAACCGGGTTAACGGTCGTGCCCGTAATCCACCAGCGGCGTCAGACTAAAAGTTTGCAAACAGGAAGATGCAGATTATGGCTGCAAAGAACCCGCCATGCACAATCCCGAACAGAAGACCCATGATCATAAGGTTCTTCTTTCCAACGTCCAGCTTCTTCAGGTACTTGATCAGCTGCACCACAAAAAATAACATGGCCCAGGCGCCCACAATTCCGAAGACGCCGCCCGCAATTATAGACCCTAGGTTTTCTGTTGCTGTGCCCTTTTCCCCGTCAGCAAGCCTGAAAAGGCCCAGCACTACGCAGAGGGGAACTAAAAGCGTGTAGGAGTAGCTATAAAGGCAGGAAATCACTGTGTATCTTAGCTCTGTAAATCCAATGCACTTGCACACGGCCCAAAAGATGAGCGGCACGAGACCTTGGTAGGCGGCGATCAATCCCGCGAGAGTAATAAAAGGGAGGGATCCTTGGAGAGATACGTTACCGTTTCCATTGATGTTGAAGACGATATCTATAGTCATTCCCAGAAAAAGAGCAAAGACCAATGTGATGGTGACCCAAATGGGGTACCAGAGGTCTACCGGCCCGTTGATAGCCTCGTTCAGAAAGTCTCCCTTGAAGATAAGAAGGCTTTGCCACACGCGCTTCATGATGTCGGACGTCTGACACGCAAACAAGGATCGATAAAACTCTATCTTGAAAACCTTCGTACACCCGGTAGGAATGCGGTCTCGTGCATACTGATAGGCCATCTGGCTCGTCATGTCGACGGTTGCGTTCGCTGCTTGCCTCTTCGTCTCCTCTATGTACGGATTGAAGGAGGGCGGAGGATCACTATTGGGTGAACGCCTGGCTTTCTTGCCCTCTGCTTTCCTTTCGTCCGGTGGCGGTGCCTGTTCTGTATTGATAGGCTGGGAGAATGGATCAAAGTTGAAGTCTGCCATGTTGGATCTCACAAGGCAAAGAGTTTTTACTCTGTTTTTTGATCTGATCCTTCAATCGTCGTTCGCACTCCAGGGCATCCTTCGTATCATTCCATGGAGACATTCGGGTTTTCTTATCTGCCCAATCAATGTCCTTTGCCCGGGTCCACCAAAGGTCGTTCAAAAAACTTGTAGATGCTCTCTCTTTCCTTCGATGACTGGGCTACCCACGAGGTCCAGGTCAATCCCCTTAATCCGCTTTCCTTACAAGACCCGCCCACCGATCGCACACGGCTGGCCTCTTTGTCTCGGTCTTTGATGTTTGGGCAGGAGCTCACAGACAGCGCCCTCCCCTCGCTATTCGTTTCCACAGATCTCCCCTTCTCCATGAAAAACACGCGCTTCGTGGCAATCTCAGCTGGCGTGGCTGCATATCTCGTCTGCGGATCCGAGAGCAATACCTTTATGCTGTATGACATTCAAACCGGTGAACTTGAGCTTGAAATGAACCCTGAGGTAGATGGCTTCCTTCTTGGTGGTATTGCATATGTAGTGAAGAAGAAAAGTGCTGCGCGAGTGGTCTTCATGGTTGCATATAGTGCTACGGCGCTTTGCTGCTATTACTACAAGGACAAGGTTCTTGAACAGCAGAAGATCACTGCCTCCGTGCTTGGACTGAAGAACATTGCCACAGTCACGTGCCTGCCAATGGCGGATGCATCTTCAGAATCGTTGGACACTAGCAAAGGCACCATCAAAACCCACCAGCAGTTCTCCATTTTAGTCGCGGACACATCTGGAAACGTTGTACGCCTTACCATTTCTACTAAAACTGAGGCGTTCAAAACCACTATCATCCATGAAGCAGACACAGATGCTTCTTTCTTGCAATTGCACGCGGTAGCGGCTCCTCTTGCCATTGAGGGGCTTGACCTATATAAATCCAACGGCCCAGACTTCTCTGTTCTCATATTCATCGTTTTCAAAGACAAGGTAGTAATCAAGGCGTGCGGGACTATTCCGCAAACAGTCCTTTCGATGGGCGTGCTTGCTAGCCAATTCCTCCCTGAGGGGCTCTTGCTTAGTGCGATCACAGGGGTGGAAACGGGATCTACGGGCGGGTTTCAGACAGCATATAACCTCAGGATTCTTTTCACATCTGAGTCCGAACTGAGCGTTGCTTCGCTAGTGCCGTTTAGCTCGAAACATCAGGTTGCTCCAAGCGAAGTCAACTTTAAGCTGGATCATAAGCAGAAGTATAGCCTTTTGGGCCTTCGTTCCGTCTGCTTTTTGGCGTCAGATATAGCAGTCTTCTTCTGCTCCAAAGCTTGGCATGCTGCATTTTTGATTACACCCATTGATGCTCTCGGCCATGAACCTGCTATCTCACATGTGCAGGAGATCGATTCTCACAGCTTGTCTGGGGATTTCAACATACTAGACATTGATACCCCTTTCTTCACCACAGATCCCGTTTATGGGCCGCGCCTGCTTTGCACGCCAACAGCTCCAATTGCTAGTTGGCCTGCCAAAATCTTGACTACAAAAACACTTGACTCCCTATGTACTGGGCACGCGGCTTCGCGTTCTCAACATCTCGCCTTACCACTAGTGTATAACTATGCTTACAGAGTTTTTGGTCTTGGACTACTAAAATCTGATATATTTGCGAATTCCCTCTCTGTCCCGTTTAACCCATTAGAGCTCTCGGCGTGCCTGTACATTCACGAAAGTAACCACAGATCAACAGCCTGGACAAAGCATCTCGCCGGCTCCTTACAGGCTGCCCATCTTTCTAAGGATGGGCTCTCGACTGTTGATAAGCTGCTTAACTTAATAGTTAAGCTCTTCGAAGCACCTTTTCAGAACGATTCCCATGGCTACGTTGTGTCGGTCCATCTCTTGGCCCTTGCAGCTAGTCTCAACGCTCTTTCGGCGTTCTTAGGGTTGGCACTGAAGACTTTTGGCAGCAGTTATATCTCCGAAGCACCGCCGTACTTTCTTGCTGCCCTTGTCTTCCTAACACTTAACTTTCAGCTCGACCTTTCAATAGACGATCTTTCCGCGCTTTTGGATGTCCTTAAGACCCAATTGGCCTGCTCTAATACCTCTCACCAATTCACTTGTCCATTGATTCAAGAGCCCGAGTTCATTCTGCGCAGGGCCTTAGACCCAAACAAAGTCCTCGAAAACATCCAATCCATATGCTTACTGAACTCGTGCAACCGCCAGCAGTATGACGATCTGCTGGCTGTGACTACAAATCGGAAACTAGAAGCTGCCCTTTTCTTCCTATATGTGCTTCGCGTCTTCGATGACTCTAAGGAGGGTGGCGAAGGCGTGCTTCGGTCAGATCCTTGGCCCGACTTTTTCAAAGAGATCAGAAGGCAACAAGATGCTGGCTCGCAGGAGGGTCTCTTTGCATACCATCAATTCCTACGACTTGTGCTCACTGACTTTACAGATGCAGCTACAACCATACGCACTGCTAATATTTGTCTCCGAACAACGTCGGGCCTTTCTCTACACTTGCCTGTCTACCTTGCTAACCAGGCCGTTGTCATTGACGCTTCTCGCGCGTCTTCGCTTTCATCCGGCTTTTACAAGACGCTACACAATAAAGTATTTACGGGCAATCCAAACGAGCTGGTCCTGGAGTGGATTAGCATAAGTTGTCGGGACTTCTGCCTAATCGCACTCTCCTCTGTAGCGGCAAAAGCAGCCGGCCTTGTGCGCAAGTCCAGCGGTTCCAACTCGAATTATCTCATGGAGTTCAATCACGTTCTTATTACCCTCCAGAATCTAGTCTTCGATACCTCATTTATCGAGAACCTGAAGAGCGTCGACTCGGTGGACAATCCACGGATCTTTAGGCGGAGCGTCACCACGGGAAGGCTGAACTTTGAGAGCCTGCTGTTGCTCAGTCACGTACTCTTTGATATTTCCATGATTGTCCTAGACATTATGAGGCACACTTCTCCTGGAACTCCCGTGCAGAACGAGGCGTTGAGGAAGCACGGCATTCTCCCGGAAATTGACAGGATTGCTGCTTGCAAAATGTTATCGCGTCTTCCAGAGTGCTGCTGGATATACCTCCTACTTGTTCGCGCCATGGAAACACCAGAGCAACTCGAGGCGTGTCTGACCACCGATACGGCTGACAACATATTCACAAAAGCATTCAGCTGCCAAAGTGCGCGGGAAATGTATGCGGATGCTGCGCTTCTTGTACACTTTCCTATGTTTTTTCTCCCAAAGTACCTGTCTGTTCGCTCGAGGCGCTTCTCATCCATATACACATTTCTACACTACGTTCCGTGGTATTTTCCGCTAGATCTTGCTAAGATCTACTGCTGCCTTACTGATCTTACCAGCGGGCATGAGGAATCGATCTCGCCCTTATCTAGATTTGACAGTGTGTCTGCTCAGCCTTTTGTTTCGACTGCCTCTCTCTTGATTACACCGCAGTATAGCCGACCCTTCCTATGCTCCACTCTCTTATCTGTGCTCCAAGATGGGCCGCTAGCCACTGTCGATGCTTTCGCGGCATCTGCTCTCACGCTCTTCTTTGCGACACCTCGTGGGCTAAATCTGTCGTTATTGTCGAGCCTGCAGCACCTCTTGCCTATTGATGCCGGTGCGCCTGTAGATGACTTAGTTTTTACATTAGCAAAAACCATCGACATTATCTTCTCTAACGTACTCCCTGGCATAGATGGCCTGGCTATTAATCCTGTTCAAGAGTCTTGCCATTTGACTAGGCTGCTTTCTGGAATAGACTACAAGAGTGTCCATGACTTTCTCAGTAACCCGTCGGAATTTGCAGCGACCATGCTTCGGATTTTCAGACACTCTCCGTACGACCTTTTAAGGGTGTACTTCTATAAACATTTCCCTGCCGCCCAGGCTCTTCCTGACGTGCCAGCAGAGAATAAACTATTAAAGGAAGCCTACATAAATACAGGAACGCGCTTTCTGTTCTCTATCCTCTTCCCAGATGATCTTCTTGATACTAAGGGCAATTCATCTCAACTAAACGGTCAGATTAGGCGTGGCTGTTCGAAGATCTTGGGGACAGATATAGTGGGCCCGGAACTTTTGCTGTTTGGGCTCGACGATGACGGCCACCCCTCGCAGGACTGGATTCACTTTACTAAGAAGAACTCCCTGACCCAAGAACAGAGAGGAATTGTTTTTTCCGTTAGTCAGTTTCTAATCATGAACTGCGCTGAGAATTCGTTGGTGAAGAAAGGCCAACGCGAGGCTTTGACATGGGTCTCTTATATCCTTCCCCTCATGGATGAGTCCATAGCCAAGAGGCTTGTCAGTGATGTCCTTGGTAAAAGTCCACTTGACGGGGAAGTGCAGTTCTTGCTCTCCTTGCAATTGGCGCAATTTTGCGACTCGGGGTCCATCTCGGTTCATTTTTATCAACGGTTCACATATCTTCTTCAGAACCACGAAGCTAAGCAAGCAGAGTTAGAATCCTTTATAGAAAAGACGCTTTCGCTTTATCTCTCACAACTTACTGGGGCAAACGGCGAGGTCGTCAAAGAGCTCTTTAAGGCCCTGTCGACTGTACAGGATGAACGCTCGTACTTTGACTATGCGCTAAAGACCCTTGCCACTCTCAGAGAAACGCTCTATGTAGATGCTGCAGATACTCTGGTTCTGCATCTAATGCAGCTTGGCGATACCTCACGGATATTGCAGCTAATTAAGCTCCTCTCCCGTCAGCTTAACTCCGATCTTATTACGCAGGATGCTATACTCAGCGCCGGGATTGCCGACCAGTCTCACTCTCTGAACATGCGCATTACCATGCTCAGACAGGGGACAACAATTGGAGCGCTCAAATGCTTCATGTGTCAGCAGCCAGTTTACAAGGAGCCTGTCTATCCCAAATCGGTGATTACATCCATAGAGGCAGGAAAGAATGTCCAGCTCGAAAGGCAGATCTCTCCTTCAGAAGCAAAGACCACGCATGTCTTTTCATGTGGCCATGTATTTCATCATGCGTGCCTCAACGAGACTGAGGAAGGGCTGCAGAGGCGGGCTGACGTCCTTAACAGGTATCTTCTGGGGGAGATCACCACTTGTGAGTATCCAGCACACTACAAGATCGAATGCCCAGTGTGTAAATGATTAGTACACAATCACTGATCCTGGCGAGAAGCAGCTGCGCACTTGCATTGTTCGCCGTGTTCTGTAGTAAAGCATCGGGGAGATCAGACCGAAGAAAGCCACAAGCTAGTCTTTACCTCATAATATTGTCGGGCGCATTTCCGGTGGAACCCTTCTCTGCTCCTACCAATTTCTACGTAATAAGAACTGGCCCTGGCTCGTTTCTAATGCTATCCAATAATGTCTTAAGCTCAAAATATTCTTATCAGCGAGAGCAGAAGAGCACCGTTTTCATAGACTCCAAGCTTCAAAGAGGATATGGAAACTGAGGCATCAGTATGGAAGAAGATCCAGGCCTGACCCTAGGGCCATTCTTGGGGCATGAGTAGTGTCTTTGACGTCTAGATTCTCGGACTATCACACACGCTTGTAATTCTAAAAGACGAGCCTCGACCAGAGATGCCTTACCTGCTCATCATCAAACAAGCCCTCGCCGGACGGGCAGACGTGCGTGTTTTCCAATACCAAGAAGAGTGGCTCTGGCCTTTTCACTGGGGCCATCGCGGGCACCGCCGCGGCTGCCGTCGGGCTCCTCTGCAGAGGCGAGACGCAGACCTGGGCGGCAGACACGCGGCCGGACTGGCCCGGGTCTGGCGGACACCGCGCCTCCGGGGGGCTTTTTGAAAAGGCTGGCGATCCGACCGGCGCCCTGCCGCCCGAGGGTCTGCGCTCCACCCCGGGCCCCGCCCCACGGCGCCCTCTCCCGCGCGGACTGGCGCAGCGCGTCCCCGGAGGAGGGCATCTCGGCGTGTGCAGGCAGACTCGGCCTTGTGGCGGATCGATTTGATCCCGCTATACGCGGCGTCTGAGGACGGCTCAGCGGCGGTCCGCTCTTGTGCGCAAGCGACTGCCCCATGGATTGCCCTTCTTATGTTTGCAACATACTGGCACATGACTGGCCCGGCCTTAAAATCACCGCATGCTGATTCTCCTGTGTGCCGCTGCATGTCTCGCCGAGGCGTGCGGGACAGGACCTGCATGTGTTAACGGAGACTGCGCCTACGGGGACGGAGCACACTTCTGCCAGTGCAGGCGGGGCTGGGTGGGGGCTGCGTGTGACGCCCCCCGCGCGGGGTTCCGCAAGATAACTACCAGTGGGCAGACACCCGCGGACAGGGCCGTCAACTACGCCTGCCTCGTGAACGGGACGGAGTGCACAGGGTCGAGCAAGTGCACCTACTACGCAGGGGCGTACTCGTGCGACCCCTGTCCTGCTGGCTTCGTGTCCTACGAGGGCGAGTGCCTGCCGAGGGGCTGCTTCAACACCGGCGATTACTCAGACCAGGAGGCAACGAAGGCCCCTTGCAACGGCCGCGGCCGCTGCCTCCTGAAGGACCCCGGGCTAGCAGGGATGGATGCTGACGACTACGCGTGCGACTGCTACCCGATCTACCGCGGGGGCCTCTGCCAGTCGTGCGACGACGCCAACGCGATCGCTGCGGGAAGCTCTTCGTCTGATGCCCTCCCTACGTGCAATGCGCGGGCCTGCCAGGACTCGGATGGCGTCGTGTGCTCAGGCCAGGGAACGTGCACCCTCGACGTGGGCCTCGATCGCGAATCATATCACTATCGCTGCAAGTGCAATGATGGCTACACACGCGTTGGGCACAAGTGCGTCAGGACGGAGTGCGTGGCCACGATCGACGGGTCCCCGGTCGTCTGCGGGGGCTTTGGAGAGTGCACGGATAAAGATAGCCCCGGTACCTTCAAGTGCGTTTGCGATTCTAATGCAGTCCCGGTCGGTCAGTTTTGCACATATCCCGCGTGCACAGACAGCGCTGCTACTGAGATCTGTGGCGGAGTGGGCGCCTGTGTGCGTGACGGCGCTGGCTATAAGTGCGACTGCCGAGGGCTTGCCACGGGCGACCTCTGTGATACTTGCACTCCTGGGAAATCCGCTCAGGTAGGCGACAAGTGCGTTCCAGTGGGGTGCCTCACCTCAAACAACCAGGAATCATGCAAGAACGGAGGAACATGCGTCAAGTCCGACGGCGAGTACCATTGCCGCTGCCCGGACATGCTCATTGCCGTCAGCGGAGAGTGCACGTCCCCCGCGTGCATGGACGAGGAGCTGGGGAAAGTCTGCTCGGGACACGGCACGTGCAAAACGGACGACCCACAAGACATAAAGTGCACCTGTAGTTCTGAATACACGTACGTCGCCCCGGGGCGCTGCATCCTAACAGCCTTGATGGACGGCGACCGAATCTGCAGCGGCCACGGCCACGTTAGCATCGACACCTCGGATCCTCCCACGATGACCTGCAGGTGCTCGTCGATCTACGAGGGGTCCAAGTGCGAGACCTGCAAGGCCTCTGTCGCCCAGGAGATCGAGGGCGAGTGCGTCCCAACCAAGTGCATTGTGGCACCCCAGCCCGGATCGCGAGCCACCACTCCCAGGGTCTGCGACGACCACGGCCAATACACGAAGTTCGGCGACCCGAGCGACCCGTTTGCCACGTGCACCCCCAAGGACCCCGACTCCGGGACCGTCTCCGCCTACAATGGCACCTTCCTTGCGAGGCCCGGGTGCGTGCATGTCAGCAAGGTAGACAGGACCAGGAGGTTTTACTGCGGATTCCTGCAGGGACTGACAGACAACTTGCAGGAAGGCGTGGTAACGTGCAATACACAGAACGAGGGATCTGTGTCTGTTGAGACGTGCAATGGTTGCCCAGAGGGCTTTAAGCTTGTCCACTTCGGGGCAGAAGAGGGCTATAGAAAGACATGTATGCACGACAACTGCTACCACGGAACTGGCGCCAGCAGGATGTGGTACGACTACTGCGGCGGGACCGGCGACTGCATCAAAGAGGGTGACACGTACAGGTGCGACTGCGGCCCCAGTGCCACTTGGAACGAGGGCCTGAAGGCGTGCGTCACCGAGGCGTGCAAGCTCAACAAAACGCTGGCCGGCCCAGAGGCGCCCGAGTACTGCGCAGCGCCATCTAGCCTTGCGCTCCACTGCACCGTCGGCCGGGACGCGGCCTGGCAGTGCGATTGCCCCCAGGGCGACTACCTCACGTACAACAGGACGTGCATCCTGAGGAGCAAGAGCGCCAGCCCCACGACCCACCGAGCAAGGGGGCTTTGCGGCGGCCCCGGGGCGGGCTTCCTGAGCGGCAGCGGGTCCTGCGTCTGCAACCCGGGCTTCCTCAAGATCGACGACATGTGCTACAGCTATGACTGCCTGCCCGTGGGTGTGACGGCCGACACAAAGAGGTTGGACCTCAGCCCCCACGTCTGCTCCGGGAAGGGGGTCTGCGCGTACAACCAGCTGACCGGCCGATATGGCTGCGAGTGCGAAGCTGGTCTGGAGGCCTTCGGGGGCTACTGCACTCATCCCGGGTGCGCCGGGAAGGTGATCCACAACGGAGAGCTTAAATACGTTGAGTGCAAGGTCTACGACGGGTCCGTGGGCAGCTGCGTTCAGAGCGCAGACGGGGCCGCGTACTTCTGCGCCTGCAGCTTCCCGTACACATCTGTCGGCGGGCTCTGCGTCCATCAGCGCTGCGTGGTGAATGGCGAGTACTGCGGCGGCGACGCCCTGGCCTCGTGCGTGAGGGGCAGCGATAGCCTGTACGGCTGCGTCTGCTCCGAGGGCTACGAGCTGAGCGAGGAGCGGAGCGAGCACGGGAACAAGGCCAAGTGCGTCCCGAGCAGGTGCATGTACAGGCCGTCGGCAGGCGACCCCGCCATCGAGTGCAACGGGCTGGGCACGTGCGGCAATGGTGGCGGTGGGTCTCTGCTGAAGGACAAGAGGTGCGAGTGCAGCGGTGGAGCTCAGCTGCACACTCTTAGAGACGCAAGCGGGGAGCTGAGGGAGACGTGCATTCTGGACGCGTGCATCTCTAGCAAGGACCAGGAGGTACCGGTGATCTGCGGGGGCTCCGGCAGGTGCGGGCCGAGCGGCTGCATCTGCAACCTGGGAACGAAGCTGTTTGGCAACGCCTGCGTCGGGATCAACTGCTTCATCAACGCCACGAATGACAGTGGAGGGGTTGCCGAGTCGGTGTGCGGGAGCGAGGCCGTCGGGGTGTGCACGAAGATAGCGTCCCACGGCGACCGTCGAGATTACGCCTGCAAATGCGTGACGTCTCCCCCCGAGGGATACGAGGAGGTCGACGGGTTCTGCCTGCCAAAGTCCTGCGTATTCGCGGTTGGGACCCTCGACGGTCAGGACGCGAAGACGATGTGCGGCGGAAGCCACTTCGGGACCTGCGTGATCAGCACCAACCAGCAGACGAGCTCCTACTGCAGCTGCAAGAGCAGGCCCGACGTCGTTCAGCTCACGTCGGGGCAGTGCATGAAGCGGGACTGCGTCAGCGACGCCCTGCCCGGGAGCGCGTACCAGAGCATCGAGTGCTACGGCCACGGAAAGTGCAGGACGGGCGACGGCGTCACCTACGCGTGCAAGTGCGAGGAGGGATACAAGACGGTCAGGGGCGTGATCGGGACCTACCTCTGCATCCCGCAGGCATGCGTCGTCTCGGAGACAGACACGGCCGCGGTCTGCAGCGGGCGGGGGACCTGCTCGGTGGACGAGAAGACATGCAAGTGCGGCACGGAGTATGCTGGCGAGAGGTGCGAGACCTGCGCGGCCGGCTACAAGGAGCACACGAACAGGCGGTGCTACCGCAGCAGCTGCCCGGAGGACGGGAATTGCGGCGTAGAGGACGGCGCCAGCCTGGGCAGCTGCCAGTTCGGCGGCAGTAGCTTCAGCTGCATCTGCGTCAACTCGAGCTTCGTCACCGACAGCGCCACCGGGACGTGCAGAAGGTCCAGGTGCGTCTGGGTGGACCCGTACGACCACGCGGAGAAGACGTGCTACGGCATGGGCTGGTGCAGCTACAGCGGGGCCACCGAGCAGTGCAGCTGCAACCCCAACACGGTCCCCGTCGGAGCGAGCGTATGTGTCTACGCGGCGTGCATGCCGAGTGGTAGCACCGATGACCCCAGTATGATATGCAGGGGGCGCGGGACATGCGTAGAGGGCCCTGTCGCCGGCACGGGACTGTGCAGGTGCGACAGCAGCAGATACCGCACAGACAAGAAGACCGGCCAGTGCTTTGTCAAAGAATGCTTCGGGGCGCACGAGAGCATCCTGGCCGAGGTCTGCGATGGCGGTGGAACATGCAGTGAAGACACTAAAAAGTGCAACTGCAACTCCTCCGGCTTCCAGAGCCTCGACGGCCAGAACGGCTGCGTGCACAGCAGCTGCGTCTCGTCGGACAACAAGCTCTGCAGCGGCTTCGGCGCCTGCGAGAAGACCGGCGACACCTACGGCTGCCTGTGTGCAAGTTACTATACTCTGGTCGACAAAGACTGCATCCCCACAAGGTGTCTCAAGGACGGGAAGGTCTGCAACGGCGGTGGCACATGCTCCGGCGAGGGATCCTCTGCTACCTGCAGCTGCAGCCAGGGCTGGACCCCCCACGGGACCCTCTGCTACCCATCGGCCTGCGTCTCCGGTGGGGCGCTCTGCGGGGGGAATGGCGACTGCCAGCTCTCCGACGGAGGCTCGTGCAGCTGCAGAAGCGGCTACGAGACCGTCTCCGGGGGGCTCTGCGTCAGCAGCCAGTGCGTCCAGCGCGGCACCGACGGCACCGTGACGATCTGCGGGGGCAACGGCAGGTGCGTGTCTGAGAACGGCGTGACTCCCAGCTGCGTGTGCAACGAGGGCTTCTCTCTCACAAGCGACTTCGTCTGCGGAGTCCCTGCTCCATCTAAAAAATCGTCTGCCGGCACGACGGCTGCGATCGTGGTCGTCGTCCTCCTCGTCCTCGTTGCGGTGGCCGGCTTCCTTGTCTGGTGGTTCGTGATACGGCCCAGGAGAGGCGGCCCACTGAGGGAGCGCGTCCCGCAGAAAGGCTCCAAGTCTTCCAGCTCTTCTAGGTCCAAGCTCAGGCGGCAGGCGGACTCCAGCGTCTCGCTCCACGCCGACGTGCCCCTGCTGAGCCAGGCGTCCAACGTCAACTCCAGCATCCAGCTCTAGCCCGCTGCCCGCAAGGTGTCGGTATTGGTAAGTCGACGGCGCGGATCTGCATACGAATGTAAACATGATTTACTTCGAGGTTAGTTTGTCAACTGCTGTCCGAACAGGTTTTCCATGTGAGCCATCGCTCTGGGCAGACCTCCCGCTCACCTTCCGAGACCCGAGAGCCGGATGTCCTAGATCCCCGTGGGAGAAGAAGAAGGTTTGCCTATCCTCTTGGAAGCTGCTGTGCTTCTCGCAGCGCCTTCTAGGACCTCCCCTTCCTCTGGCTGGTTGTGGGCAGCCAGGACTCGTTCGCTTCTGTCAGCCAGACACCCCAAGGATCCCATCTCTTGTCGAGGGATTCACATAGGTCACATGGTGAGTCCATCCCGATGAGCGTGGCAAGTGATCGGCGCCATTGCCAGCTGCAGGCTTTCAGTCGCCTTCTCTATCGCCTTGGAGGAGGAAGCATGAGGTTCTTCTTTTGTCATCAGAATGGTATGACGTCCGAACCTCGATTCCCTGACTTCAGATGATGAACAAGCAGGGAAGTTCTTTGCATGGCACTTGCATGAGGGATTTGCTCAGACAGCAGCTACGGCGTCTGGCTACATGTTTCTCTTACGAGCCTGGTAATTGACCAGAGTTGCTTTACAGTCGCGGAGACACTGCTGCGTCTCTCTGAGTCTTTTAGAGAGACGATCCAGTTTAGTGTAGAAGAGTGAGGGCGATCCAGCCCCGTGCCTACGTGCTGCTCTGCAGTCTGCTGCTCCTGCTTTCTGTCTTCGTTTCCCTGAAAGCAGTCACGATGGCTCTCTGGAGCAATCGCTTGCATCCATCCGCAACCCTAGGCGTTACGGCTTGGAAGTCCATGTCACCGCATAAGCTCTATGGAAGGCATTTACTAGCCATGGCAGATGGAGGTCGCCGCTTCTGGAGGCCCTGGTGCATGCCAGGCCTAGAAGACGCTGACTCCACTGGCTGCAGGAGCCCCCACCTACATGTGACAGCTTGAAGTAGCACCACTTCGAGGACAGAGGATATCCACAGCTCGAGAGGACGCGGCGGCAGAGAACAGACTCAGGCATAGCCACAAACAGACCCATCGATCCGGATGGATGAGGGCGGACACCTAATTGGCAAGCCGTTGGCTAGTCTATGTAGAATCGCACCCTCCAACGCAGGCTCTGACACACAAAGTTTAATGCAGACTATATGTACACAGCAGACGGGCAGAAGCCTGCTTCGTAGTGTGTGGAGGCTTTGATGAGGCAATCGCGGGCTTAATGAAGGCCGGGACCGGTAGCTCTAACAGAGGGCTTCCCAGCTTTGGAATACTTGCGATCACCATAGAGTCAATACAGTGAGTTATCTGCAGTAACAAACTTGTGGAGATAAGGGCAGAGTCCTATCAAACTAACTAGATACTAATGGATCCTAGCGTGAACTCGCAGTATAAGAACTTGCAGAAGGCACCGCATTCTACTCATCTGAGTAAGACGGCCAACTAAGTGGACCCATAGTGCAAAGACCACGAGGCCAAGGGCTCCTCCATAGCTTCAGAAGCCAACATCACAAGAGTCACACTGGCTGCGGAGTGCTTTCTGATCCACTGAGGCTTAGCGGCATGGCTTCGTTTCCTAGTACGGCCAGACAGGCTTGAGACACGAGATACTCTGTCTGCTACAAAGCACACCTTCTGGCAGCGACTCTTGTCTATCGGGTAACTCTCGCATAGAGGAGGCAGATGGCTCTGAAGCGTCACTGCTCGCCTGATAGCTCTGGATCATAGCAGAGGAAGTTGTTTATGAGAATGCACCCCTAGTGTGTAGATCCACATTTTCGTGCGACGTGAGAAGACGTTTCTGGGTTGATCTGTCATGCCTCCATCTGCTCTAGCAAAATGTAACGCAACGCATGCACTATTGATCTATGTCGCCATGGCAGCCATAGTTAACTAGCCAACGAGACAATCGCTAGAGGAACCCTCGCACACTTATGAGCAGAGGCGCAGCCTGAGAGCAGTCCTCTGGCCGCTAAGTGATGGAGGAGCAGACATAGCGCTGCTCCGTGCAATCACACTCTCTTACCTTAGTAGCTATATGGGCAGCCCCGGTCTTGTGAGGTCTGTGGATAAGCTGCTTCACCCCATAAAACACTCAGAATTACTACAGGTGACACCTGCAAAATCTTACTGTTGGAGGCCATGCTCCACTAGAGACATGGCTCTGGAAACACATTGACTGATGGGAGCTCCCCTCTAGCGTTCTTAGGGGCGATGTCTGTCCACAATAGCTCTACACCCACTGCCTGTCTATGACCCAACTGTATCTTATTAGACCCCTATCTCCACTGAGTGGCTGATTCGAGGGTGATTGCCGTTACCAGAATGATATCTTATATTGACTGCTAAGAGCTGTCTTTGCATATATTACGCTGCTTAGTACTGCACTCAAACGAAGTTTGCCATCGTTTCGCAGCTATTGTGGATTGGAAGAACAGTTAGCACTCTCAGTAGTTCATGTGGTAATCGGAAGTCAGGGAAGTCTAAGTTGAGTGGGAAAGCTTGAAGAGGAAGTAGCAGCTCTTGTACTCCTCTGCTGGGTGATGCAGAGAACTGGCTCGTTTCTTAGCGTCGATAAGTTCTTCAGAATGCACGTTTCTTTGTATAAGGCCTGCATGCTTCGGATTGCCCTCTGTTGCCAGCAGAGCAGCCACCGCCCTGTGTGTCTCCTTCAGGCATATACCCATCTACGACGACGCCTCATGTATCCTCTCTGGAGAGGTATAACCGTCCCAATCCAGACACCTTGCTCTCAGCGCACACCTCGTATCTATCAAAGGCCAGGTGTTCGTCAACCATATCCCGTGAGCATCAGCGCTGTGCCACTATGTTACTTCCTGTCCTTCTTGAGGGGCGTGCTCTGACCATCTCAGTGTCTCTATGATAGGAGAGCTGTGGATCCGGAGGCTGCTGTGGCTTTCTGGCCCTCTCTGCTGTCCAGTAGACTGCAAGAGCGCCCTTCGGGAGTCGGTCCCCCAACCCTCTGTTCTCTCGGGGAAGTGGTCCTTGGATAGTGCTACTTGGATGGTTCCCGAAGCCTCACTGCACGGGTGCTGCTTCTAAGAACTCCTGGAGCCTCCCTACAGAGTCGCCCAATGGCGCAAGTCTTACCCATTGTCAGCGGGGGTCTTGGCTCTCAAGGACATCTCAGGGACAGTACGTTTGACCCACGCCAGTGCCACTTCCTGGCAGAGGCATGCGGAAGATCTACTCCCTCTTGTGGATCCATCATTGGTATCGAAAGCACTGCGTCTGTTACCTTCGTTGGAGGTGTCGACAGATGGTACCCCGTATCTGCCCCATTGAAGAGTTGGAGGTCTGCTAAGGACAGCGAAGAGGATCCCATCAGGGCTGTGATCATATACCCGTCATTATGGCAACCATAGTGTAGATAAGACAACTGTCTGAGTCCTGTGACTCCCGGGGTGAGACGCCAGGGGCGTAGCTAATTCAAGCTGATGAAGGCTACCCTTGTCATAGCAGGCTTAGAAAATAGGGAGCGAGTGACGTACCTGGTGTCCATCAACGCACACATGCAGCCTGGAAGCCGTGTTCAAAGCACCAAGGCCTGCAGGGGAATGGCATCCGAACAGGCCCAACAGTTATGACTGTTTCTGAGGACAAGTCAGCGTGACTAAACGAGAACATGAGAACTCACAGAGACCCTCACAGTTTTGATGTCTGGGAGAACGTGGGGGCTGACCACTCCAAGGTTGTCCATCTCATGAGCTGGCTTTCGATAGCAAACATAACAAGGAAGTGACCCCTAATTATACACAATCTCATGCCAGCCCATCGCAGGATAGACCATCATTGCCTGACCTACCAATCCGTCCATTGCTGTGATAGATGTAACAGTACTTCATCATCGGCCACCTTGCGGCTACACAGTCAGGGTATTATCCGTGACATTGCTTGCTGATGCTCTGCATAGGGCCCTGTCCTCGTAGAGTGACAGATGAGCCTCTCTGTATATGTGGATCTAATGATATGGCTCCTCTGGGACTTTCCACCTCTGCTTCTGTCTAGTATCTCACATCAATATGAAGTGGCCAGTGGCTGTTATTGGATCTTGCAGCATAACTATTACACATGTATGTGCCCATCAAGACTACCATATAGGGTCACACAAGCCGGGAGCTCTGTCAGGCAATTATCGGACTCGATATCAAGATGGCACGGGGACAACACTCCCAGTGGTCGCTGAAGCATGAAGCATTATATAGATCGTATAGCATACCAGCGGCAGCACAACGGCAGAGGACATACTTAGATGTAGATAGCGCCTACAGCAAGCGGCATGCTGTCGTTGTCGGTACAACGGGCATAGTGGCTACTGGATCCACGCTTTGGTAGCCTCGATTGGAGCAATTGCACAGCGAAGGAGCAGAGCGAGGGGGCATGGAAACCAACCGGTCGAGCAACGTGTACATGTACGAGCACAGTTATAAGTCTCGCCCACACTAGTGGGTGGTGCTCTGCCTCAATGTGGACTCAGCGGGTTAGCTCTTATATCTATGGTAGGGAGCAGAACACCACGCTGGTCATGTGATGAGAGGTCTTCATGCGGTCTTCCAACTAGCCTAGGCAGCACTTGGAAGCGACCAACCCTCTCGTACCACGTCTCCTCTCCAAATAGGACTGAAGGCGCCCAGGGCGCTCTTCTAGGGCCTTAGTATCATGGAGCCCGTGCCAGGCAGGAAGGTTCTATATTACATAGCATGAGAGCCTCTATGACGTGTAAATACTTGCGTGGTTGTAGTGACGCGTCCTCATCAGCAAGTGTCAGGGCACATCAGTGGACAACTGTATAATAAGTCAGGCACTCTGTGTGCGATCATGCATCACAGCTCTCGTAACGGGCTACGGGCGACCTGAGGACTAGTACTCTATGGCAGCGCAATGTGAGGCGGTGAGCCTAAGGCAATCGCCGGATCGATGGCTTCAACGCGGCATCCAACAAGGTGCAGCAGGGCATCGAGCCAGCTGAGCATTGAACCAGGCCCTGGATAGGAGCTAAGAGCTCCTGTGCATGGCTGGGCTGCTCTCTAGATGGGAAAGGATGCACGTCGAGCTGGTCAGGTGCGATGCTGTAAGGTATCCACAGCTGTATCGATGCATCTGGTAAGTCCACACTGGACTCCGGGAAGCACGCTGCCGGACAAGCCGAGGAGGCTCGAGGGATGATGGCGCCGTCTTGTTATCGCTATGCAGTGCTCCGTGGACATGTATACAAACCAGCATCTCCTGGTAGCCGAGGAGGGGGCAGAGCTAGGAGACGGCGAGTGTCCCATTATGAACGACTCCAGGCGCTACCCGATCACTCCTTGGAAGGGCATATGCCTCGGCTAGGTTGCATCACATCCAGAGTAGAAGAGGAAGCTGTACTGTCCTATTTGTTTCTCAGGACAATGTGCGAATAGAAAGCGGCCCAGCGACTGACACTCTGCACCGTCCTCCTCATCCGCGGCCTGAGCAGCCAGATGCCAGGCTCGATATGTAGGACGGAAGCTGCGAAGAATAAACTCACCACGGGGCCGATTGTCTGACACCAAAAAATCCAAAGGGACGATAGCGCCCACTGCCTCTTAGGAGAGCGCATCATGCACGATACCAGCCGTGCCAGCCTTGGCTTCTTAGGGGAGTAACCTGGGGACGTCCTGTACTAGCTTCGGCTTGTGAGGCGTTAAGACCTGTGAATAGCACAAAAGGAGGCAACTGGGTGTACAGGCAGTGCATTGTGTTCGTGGAAGTGTACCGCAACTTCTAGGTGTATACAGCGGCACTAAGCCGGGCATCTCAACTGGCCTGCATTGGCGACCCGCTTGCCACCGTGTTTGCTGTGATGAGAGGCTGTGTCTGTCCAACAGATTGAACAGGTATTGCACTTGCTTCTCTGGTGATGCATGCATGGTCATATGTAGCTCTGGTAGGTAGCGTGGATACTATGATAGCTAAGCTGTCTGCCATCAGTAGAGAGTAGCAGTTAATCGCGCCAGAGACTCTTCCAGGTAAGCCTTCGGTCTTCGTGCCTGCTTCTCCACCAACTATAGTAATAACTGTATATCCAGAACAATGCCATGAAACGCTCCACTGCCTTTCAGAGTGAGACATGGACCTGCGTATAGGGCTAGAAATAGAACCCTGTACATCAACTGTTGTGCGCCTGGCGTGATGTCAGGTCTAGACCGCGGCACGATCTCTGCGTGCTTATGTGCTTGCGTGCATGCTCACTGCTATGTTGGAAATTGCAGCAAGGAGGTTGGCCTCTGAGTGCACCCACTCTACAGTGACTAGTCCTTAGCTGCACGTCTCAACGGAGGAGGGTGCTACTTGGGTGTGCAAAAGACTATCTGTGCACGGCGGCTCCTGGAGAGATGGTTCGCACAGAAAAGGTAGAGGCGACCAACAGACCAGGGAGGTAAGATCATCGCTAGAGAGTCTAGTTATAGATCTGGATTGCAACGAGGACACTTGTAATGCCTTTCTGGCCTCCGAACATAGAAAGATTGCAAGGCCTATAAATAGATCGGAGGCTACTTTTTGATTTTGTGCATTTGTAGCGGCGTAATATTTATTGGGAGCCAGTCTCGTCTGAAGCTGGGGAAATTCACTTTCTCTCCATATACAGGCGAAGATCTATTGTAGAGGCATACTGTACAGGCCGGTACCAGTCGGCGTGGTTGCTGTCCACAAATGTCTCACTTGCGTCCTCCCACAACAGATGAATCGCCAAAGTGTCTCTTGGATTGCGTGATGTCCTACAGTGCATCTCTGTTTCGGCCAAAGATTGGCGCACGCGTTGTGTAGTTTAGATTGCTCATCCCCATGAGGATGTAATCCGCTCTCATCCTCTGCTTGTCTATCTCGTACGACCACTGCTGATGACCTTTCCAGATCAGTGGGTGCCTTCATCGGTCCTGCAAAGGCACGCATCATGTAGGTGACTACTGCAGACCAGAGTTCTGTCTACCAAGGAAAAGGGTCAATCTGTTTACCGCGTAGGCATTCATTGTGTGCCCTATATAGTCCAGCAGGTCTTGTGCTCTTTAACATTTTCTCAGAGCCCTGTCTGGAGCCTGCATGCATATCGTTACTGACGAGCACTTTAGATTCACCTAGTCACCTAGGACGTCAAATCCCTTACGCTGCATAATGGGTATGCTCAGTGTGAGAGATACGTAGTCAGCATCAGCCTTCTCGGCTCATTGTCTGGGCAATACTACTGCTGTTTCTCATCCAATCCGCTGGCGCGAGGACCCAGCTCATGGCTAGCAAACCGAGAAAGGCCATTCCGGGAGGTCTTCAAGCGCGCTAGTACCTCGTTAGCGGGTAGCTAACAGTGACCGTGGCGCGTACTTCCACCAAGCCATGGCCTCCTTGAGCGGGGGTGTGAAATGGGGCCCTGTTATCCTGCGGCCCTGCTGATTCCCCGGACAGCAGGGATCGGAGCAGCCCAGCTAGCGCCTCTGGGTCTCCTTCTGTCCTCGTTGTCTGAGATGCGCTTGACTCTATAAACTTGAAAAGGTACTGTACTGTGCTTGGGTCTGCGAGGCTCAACTAGGCAGGGCTACCCTCTTGGAGACTACGCTGAGGTACCACACATCCCGAGGAACCTGTATGGAGTACCACAGCCCAAGGGCACCTTTGTCTGTCGAATGCAAGTTGTAGTTATGGCTTCATAAGTGCAGCCTTTCTTAAAATAACTGATCAACTACAGAATTCGCCTACTCACCCAGAGCCACCTGATGGAGGATGATATCAGTCTCGTCAGTCGTCTACAACGTACACCAGTCGAGTCTTACAGATGAACAAGGGCTACCCAGTCCGCAGCACTAGACATTAGCAGATATCCTTCACGACAAGGGGGATAAGCGACTGGTAGACCAAAATAGTCGTCTGCCCATTGAAGATCTTCCAGTCACTGACCTAGGCCAGCTTCCTACAAGATTCTTGGCGAGTTGTATCAGAGACGCATGCTTATGGAACTCCCAACTCAAGGTGTATGCTGCTGGATCCCACCTTTCATACCAGTCTATGTATAGCGGTGCTCCGGCCTTTAGTGAAACTACCCTGGAGACCACATAAAATATAATGCCCCAGTCGGGTATTATCAGACTCCTACAGCTATGCAATGAGGTCTGCTTTTCGCATTACGCATCAGAGAAGTATGTTGGGCTGTAGTGGTGCAATTCCTCGTATGGTATGGTTCGTGAGTCCAGAGATAAGATGCTTGTATCAATCGATCTGTTTACCTAGGGCCAACCATAAGTTGGACTAACGGTGACAATCAGACGCTGCTCGACTTCCTGACAGCAGATAGAGATCCGACTACCCTAGTACCTTACCTGAGACCACAGGGACGCTGATTACGGGTCTGATTAATAGCTGGCGGAGCGACACGACAGGCCTAAGTTTTTTCTGCCGAAGTAGCCCACCACAAGAAACTCTTTGTCGTTCATACCAACAGATTCAGGCACTGCAAGCAATCGTGGTTCTACTACCGCTACAATGGACAGCACCAGGATGATCCAAAAGGGGTAATGGGAGTCCTGGTTTCTTAGCTTAGGAGACAACGCGGTTTGGGCAGTGCTTCCTCCTTGTCCAAATGTAGAAGTGTTGGCCTGCGTTTCCTGAGCTCCAATTGAGTCTTTGTCGTGCGGTGAGGTATCTTAAAATATCCATTACAAAAAGCGAAGAATAGCGCCGTCCACGCTCAACAAACCAAAGCGTCTCACGGGCTAATCTACACCGATTCACATCTTCCATGGACCTTAGCGACCACCGTAACCTTCTGCTAGAATCTCACGGGAGCTCGTCTTTGAGTCCAGCTCTCCTACAACAGTCAGAAGCCGCAAACATAATCTGATGAAGGAGAATGCTGCAAGGACTGAGAAGAGAGTGCCGGTGAATGGGGGTTCGCAGGGACCCGATCCGCGCAGGGAAGGCGCAGGGGCCAACACCTCGGGGACACAAGGGCGTTAGGAGAGGAGCCAGCAGCAAATCTGTGGCACAGCGGGGACACTCAGGGCGTCCTTTCATTGTCTGAAGGGCAGGGGAGAAGCAGGTGTGTGAGGCGGTCCAGCAGATTATTTTTGAGTTTCTGCCTCCCTGCGTGCTGCACGAGGATGAATTTCCTTGGAGGCCGCTTGCCCAGGCCCAAAGGGTCCCTAGGGATGGCTTATACAATAGACACATTTACTACCCACTAATTTGCATCTCTCAAACAAAGGTATCATAGGAGATGGACTCTTGAGATTATCTGATATAGTATGATCAGGTAGAGTGCTTTAGCTTTGGATATCTTATTCTTGTCCATATAATAAGCTAAGAAGGGCTTCAATGTTATTGGTAGCTTTCTACTTCGTGCTGAGCGCTCTTACGGCAGCTTGTCAATCGGATGCCCAAATTGCTAAATGTACGCAGTGTGTAAAAATAAGTACAAGTGATACTGAGATCTGTACAGAATGCAAAGCTGAAGGAGACGTTCCTATCAACGGAGTATGCACACCAAAGGGGGATGCTACTGTCACAACTGCTGGATGTAAGACTGATGCTGGAGCTGAAATAACAACAGAAAAGACATGTGGGCAATGCGACGGGGCTTACTTCCTCCATAAGAACGGATGCTATGCAATTGGCGGGGACGTTGGACGCCTTATTTGCGCCGATGCCGCAGCTGCTGGTCGTGTGTCATCAAAAACTCCTGGCGTTTGTGAGGGTTGCGTAGTTGGCTATTTTAAAAACCCAAGTGCAGCTAACAATAAGGACTCTTGTATTGCATGCAATGATGCAACTGGAGTTGTGGATGGTGGAAATACGTATAAAGGAATTCTGAACTGTGCTACGTGTCAGCCGCCAGCCAGTGCTGGTGCTGCTCGCCAAGACAAGGTTGCCGTATGTGAGTCATGTCTTGAGGGGTTCTTTGTTGACAGCAATGGGGCAGCATGCACAGCATGCCAGGACAATAACTGTGCTAAATGCGATGCAGGAGCAGGAAAATGCACGAAGTGCAAGGCAACCGCTAACAAGCCATATCTAAAAAAGGGCGAAACCGAGGACTCTAATACATGTGTTGATAAAAGTGGATGTAATGATAACTCCCACTTCACTGATGATGCTGACGATCCTACTAATGGAAAAATGTGTAAGAAATGCTCAGAAGGGATAGCAGACTGCAAAACGTGTGCTTTGAAGGATAATCCTGAAGGTACAATTCTCATCACGTGCTCTGCTTGTATAGCAGGTACTAATCAACCCAACGCCGACGGAACGAAGTGTGTACTATGTGATATACAGGATTGTATAAAGTGTAATGAAGAGAATATGTGTGAAGAGTGTACTGGAGGTAAAAGCCTAAGCCCCTTAAAGAACATGTGTATGGAGGGCTGTCCTGCAGGAACTCGTGATGTCAGCGGGATATGTACTAATTGCCATAATTCTTGTGCAGAATGTGATGGTGATAGTGAAGCCTCCTGTACAGCTTGTTATCCTGGGCTTGTATTGAGCAAAAGCAATACTGGAGCCACCGGCACATGCATCCCAGAGTGCACGGGAAGGTACGCAGAGAACTGCGAGGCTGGCCAGTGCACGGCCGTCGTTGGGGGCTCGAAGTACTGCAGCAGGTGCAAGGCAGGGTTCGCCCCGGTGGACGGCGTCTGTGTGTCGACAACGACAAGGGCAGTAACTGGATGCATGCCAAATGATAACAATGATGGAACATGCAAAGCGTGTACAACCACATACTTCTTGCAATCTGGCGGATGCTATCAGTCGGCTGCATACCCAGGCAGCAACCTATGTAGCAATGCTCAGAATGGAAAATGTACGAATTGTGCTAATGGACAACAACCAGAAGCTAGCACTGGATCTTGTCCAGCATGTGCATCTGGTTGTAAAACATGTGAGGTAGCAAACAAGGAGGCATGCAAAACGTGCCTTCCGGGATACTATCTTGCCGGAGCAAAATGTGTGAAGTGCGACACCAATGATCCCAATGATGGTAGCCATATTGTTGGTGTCCCAAATTGCGTAAGCTGTGCCCCTCCAACTGGTGGCAATGGCGGTCCTGTCACCTGCTACGTCAAGACAGATGTCACTAACGATGGTGGTAACGATAACAACGGCGGGAACACGAACAAGAGCGGCCTTAGCACAGGCGCCATAGCGGGGATCTCCGTCGCTGTCATCGTTGTTGTCGGCGGCCTCGTCGGCTTCCTCTGCTGGTGGTTCATCTGCAGGGGCAAGGCGTAGATGTACTTAGGTAGTAAACGCGTTGCTGTATATGGATTATGTAGATTATGCTACTAGGCCCCGGCTGCTGGTGCGTCCAGACGTCCCACGGGTAAGCCTCACCCATGTCCTGGCCGTCTGGAGACGAGGGCTGGTTGTGGATAACATGCTAGGGATTCCTCTCTATTAGCGCATCCAGAGCTTGGTGCGCCCCTCTGCCACTTCGCGGGCATGTACTCGATTTGAGTGTGCGCGTCCAGGGCCCTGGCCTTTTCGCAGACTCTCTGCTCTACCCGTGGCGCCTCTCCTTGGTCTGCCGTCCTGGTGGGTGAAGCTCGGGTCGCTGTCTTTTTTAGATGCCCCGTCTGTCGGGGGCTGCCACCAGGCTCTCTCACTGGCTGGGCCCCTCGGTGTCCGTCCGGCTGTGTCCCGGGCAACGCTCCCACAGTCCAGTCACCTAGGTCTCACAGTGGGCCGGCTGGTGGGTGAGGCGGGGTTGGTGGGGCGGTGAGGCCGGAGGGGACCGGGGGCGGTGTCTCTATGTGCCCCTGGGTCCGGTGGACCATTGAGGTGGTGGGTGATCCCCACTCTGTTTGCCAAGGTGGTTGTGTCTGATCTCCAGCCTTCGTTGCACTCCCGAGACAGAGGCACCGACGATCGTGTCGTGTCCCTTGACTGAGTGCCTCCCTTGGCCCCTGCATGTCTCAAGTAGTACTGCTGCTCTGTCTGGCTGGTGCGTGAGGGGTGAGGCAGACCATCGCAGCCCATCTTGATGCTCTGTGCGGGTCTGCTGAGCCTCCTGGCATGCCCTGTCCAGTGCCTCGACGGTAGTTCACCTCGGGCCAGCAGGGGTATGGACAACCCTGTGGATGGGATGGGGTTCTGTCATGCCTCTAGTGTGATGGCCCAGAAGACTGGCACGGTGGGGCACTGGTGGCTGCACTGTCCCCGTGGCCAGCTGTGCTGCTCCTGGTAGATCCTTGTTGTGGAGCGCTGTGTGTTGTTCATAGGCAGGGGTGAGTCCTCCTTGGTCTCAGGATGCTCTACCATCAGAGAGGAGTACGCTGAGGGTCACCCAACATCACCTGCTGTGCCCTCGGGAGCTCCCGATGTGATCTATCAGGACCTTGACACCTCCTCGTGGCTCTGATGACCCCTCGGGGAGAGCCGGGGCACCCTATACTGAGGGGTGTGCACCCTCCTGCACGAGCCGGGTCACCCACTGCACTGCCCCCAAGGAGGTCTGCTATGAGAGGCAGTGGGATGATTGACAGCCCCTCAGAGTGCAGTGGAGGGTGCTCGTGGTCGTCTCTGTGACCGGGCATCACTCTGATGGTCGGCTCTGTGCCTTTGTGGTGCTCAGAGGTCACCTGTCCTCCATAGCCTGCCGGACAGCCGGGCCTCTTGTGGCATCCAAAGGCCTCCTCGCTCCTCTGGCTGCTGCCCCCTCGGGTCATCGGTGGAAGTAGTCGAGGCCAGCGGAGTCTTCGGTGGGTCGTGCCTGCCTGGGTGTCATGGGGGGCTGGCAGCTGTCAGGGCTCTGCCACTGCTCGCCTGCCTGGAGTGTGCCTCCCTTGGGCCTGCTGTGCTGTAGTGTTTGAGTCCTCTGGCTTCCTATCAGGCCCTTGGTTGTGAGGGTGACTTCACCTGGCCCTCTGATGCCCCTGTGGATGAGCACAGTAATGTGTCTGGCCGGGGATCTCTGGTGCCCGTGTCTGTCACTGCCTCTCGGGTGCTCGGGTGGTTGCCTGGGGCTCTCGTACGGGGCACAGTCAGCGTGTCCCGAGCAGACTCCAGTCCTCTCTGGGTCATGCACAGTCTGTCCGTGTGTGGATGGTCCTCCTGCACTCAGGTCCATCTGTGTGCACTGTCACTCAGTCTCGAGAGCAGACCAGTGCAGTCACCAGGGCTGCTGTCAGAGGGAGTCGTCTGCCACTACATCGCTCGAGCAGACCCTACAGCTCAGGCTGGCTGCTGTGCACCCTCATGGTAGGGCTGCCTGACTCCCTTGGTCATCCTCTCTGTCCCGGTGTGCACGGCTCCTGAGGCGTTGTCTGGGTGGAGGCACTCACAGACCACGAGCCCACAGAGGGGTGAGTCACAGATGGATAGCCCCCAGTCACCACAGCTATGATCACCCCAGTCCACCGGATCCAGGGCACATACGAACACCGCCCCACCCGGTCCCCACCAGGAGCCCCTCCGGCCTCACCGCCCCACCAACCCTGCCTCACCCACCAGCCGGCCCGCCATGAGATCCAGGTGACCGCGACTGTAGAGCGCTGACCCAGAACCACAGCCAGACGGACATCGAGGGGCCCAGCCAGTGGAGCTGGAGAGGTGGCGAGAGAAGATCTGCTTACTCACAGGGGAAGCAGCGACCGAGAACAAATAACGATGCCCCTTATAGCGAGCCAGAGACCTAATAGCTGCTGTCGTCGAGACAAGTGAAAGCATTGTTAAAAAGATAGTAGCAACCCATATCTATCATCCACCATGAAGAAAGACCATGAAGCGAGGCACTACTCATAGACTACATGTGCTGGTGAGTAAGCTGAATCCAAGGCTGAGCGACGCCCACACATAGTCTGAGCACACACCCACAGAGCGACCGGGGAAGGTGCCAGGTTTTAGATACACTAATAGAGGGGACCCTCTAGTATGTTGTCTACAACCAGCCCTCGTCTCCGGATTGGCCAGGAATTGAGCGAGAATTTACTCGTGAGACTTCTGGACCGCGTGAGGCGAGGCTCCAGCAGCACAGTACCTATTTTGCTGCACAGGAGCTCACACTGGCACAAGATGGCTCCGTGCACTCAGATTGATGGACAGAAGGGGTCAATTCGTAAGATCTGTCTCACTAAGGGCGCTTTGGTTGCAATCCCACGACTTCAGAGGCTTCTGTGCTGATTGGGATTGGGTAATGATGCGCGAGGAAAAGCGTTCGACCAGGAGGTAGCAAGGCTGAGGCTCACCGAATCCATGATTGTTATCTACCCACAGATTCTGCGAAAATTGGACCCAGTACAGTAATTGTTAGTTTGGCGTAATAGAAAGCGTGAATCTAATTGCGCATGACATGGTCAGTGAAAGTCCCACTCGTGCTGCAGAGAGCGCTGGCAGTGGCCTCGATAGCATCCCCATGTTCAGTCCCGAAGGGCTGTATCAGCGCGAAGGCGAGCTGCTAGGTAAAGGGGGCTTCGGTGCCGTTCGCGCCATCGATGGGTGTCCAGGCCTTTCTGTGAAGGAGAGGATGATCAAGCGTAGTGAGAAGAAGCTCACAGAGTGCGAACTGAAAACTGTTACGAGACTCTCCCAGCCTGGCGTCATCAAGTATCACCAGGTGATCAGGAGCAACGACCCATCTTTGTCATCATGGACCGCCACCACGGGGATCTCCAGAAATTTATCACTGCCTACAGGGCAGCTCGTAAACCCAGTCCCAAGGGGCTGATGTTCCCTCTCCTAGAGCAGATGGCTGACGCCCTCGCCTACCTCCACAACCCTCGCAAGGTGGCCGAAGACGGGAGCTTATCTTACAGCCTCGTCTACGGGGACCTCGGGCCCGCCAACTCTGATGAATAGGGACGGCTAGCGCATCGTGCTCGCAGACTTTGGGCTCTGCAAGGACTCTCTGCATAGTGGAGGCACCTTTGCAGGAACGTCGGCATACATAGCCCCCGAGACCTTCATACGAGACGAGCACCGCTTCGGATATCTGAGCCTCCGGAGTCGTCATGTATGAGCTTGCCGAGCTTCTCACACTTTGGGAGCCAGAGGATGCGAAAGCAGTCTTTGACAATGAGTGGAGGCCTGATTTGGGCGCCATCACAGATGAATTTGTAAGAACTGTCATCGAGAAGATATTATCCTGGACCCGGCAGAGCAGCTCACGACCAGAAAGATCATTGGCTTTTTCCAAACACTCAATAGCCCTGCAATTAAAGCGGAGGATCAACATAAGGAATCCGAACATCTTGCAGAACGCTCCACTCCGACAAATGTTACGGTTTCTTTAACTTCTTCTACGTCCATGAACATGTCTAAGCCCCCGCTTGTATATCCTTTCAGTGGTACAAGTGTTGAAGCTGCTGAAGAACACCTTACTGAGGAAGACAGTGGTATCGACCCTATTCATTGAAGAATAGAGGCTCCTTTTGTTACAGACGGGGGCGCATACAGCAAGAAGTATATGGCTCTTGCGCGGAGCATCCCAGCTCTGACTCCCTTCATTATGCGCGTGTCGTTATTCTTGACCAGTCATATAGCAGGTCAACCCTCTTCAACGACCTCTTTGGAACATGCCTCAAGGCGTTGGACGAAGATGACGACTGACAAAAGACGACCAAGGGGCTTACAGCGGGATTCATCCCAGGTGCAGGATCCTATCCGACCATACTACTACTCTATTGTAAGGGGTCCGAGAGCAAAGAGCGTGCCACAGAAAATGATCAGAATATTGAACGCTGTATAGGCGCTTTCGCATCTGCCATTGCCGACATTCTTATTGTTCATATTTTGCAGACAGATGTTAGTCGTGTAGAAGGATTCTGCGCCAATCTCCTCAAATCGATCTTCTCAGTCTACTTCCAGCCCCGCAACGACGTCAAAATATATATCACAAACTTAGGCTGTTCATCGATATCCATCGGTGTAATGGAAAGGGAGAAGATCACATGAAGGAAGCACTTAACAATGATATCAAAGGAATATATGAGAACTCAGTCCCTTCCAAATTGCGTAATAGCTTCCGTCGTTACATCGACTTCAGCTTCTGGTTCATTCGGGACACGTCCTGTGAGGACAAGAATGGTAACCAGGATGAATCGGACCTTTACAAACAACAAATAGAAGGTATCCGCAGAGACATACAGACACTTGTTGCCGAAGTCATCAATCAACTTGCTTCGAGTGAACGCTTGTTCCTCACCCTTGCTGATTCTGCTGAATTCTATAGGAAAATTTGGGACACAGTTTGCAACAATGAGAATTTTGATGCTCCTTTCATACAGATGGTCTTT